TAGAGACATTAAATTCATAGAGAATTTTTACTTTTGGAATAACTGAATTTATTGTAAAGAGGTAATTACTCAAAACCTTCTGAAATTTGACCTTAAAGATTTACCTTAGGGCAGCACAACAGCAGCAAAGATTCTGCACATTCTCTTTTATGTGAACAATATGAGAATAAAAAAATTGGAGGATAAATGCTACACTTAAAGGACAGCCCATTTATAGAGGTTTCCAAATATCTAATATTCATTCTTTTTAGTGTCTTATACGCCATTAGAAAACACAGTGAGATTTGCTTGTTATACTCCTAGGTTGTATTCAGCACTTGTAGTTGGTGTTTTTCATAGCGCGACATGTTAAGTATTTTCTGGATGTTCTTTTCAAGATACGCTATTTAATGTATATTGTATGAATTACTAAGTAAAAGTGATGCAGAGATTAAAAAGACTGACATCATGATTTCCAGCTATAATTTGTGTTTTTTCGCAGAAATGACTGTTGATTTATATGAAATATCATTAAAAGTTTAAGTTTTGCGATTGTAGTTCGCATAGCTCACAACGTAAGTATACTCCATATAGCTGAGCAACAACGCTCTCTTAGTTTAACAAACACGAGAGATTAAACTTGCACGCGTTTTTAAGATACGCTATATGTGGGCCTACTGAAATCGATTTCTTTTTTTTTGAATGGTGCGTGACGTGAAGCAACGACGTAATTTCACCACGGCGTGAAGAATGCTCGTCGGATAATATAAGTGGGCATCCATATTGCGATCTTAGTAGCAACTGCTCCAATATGGGTCCTGTTGACGCTTTTTGCTGCAGCCGACATCTAGCTCCATATAAAATGCAGCTGTTGGTAGTCTAACAAATTTTATTGGTTTAGCGATATACATCTCTTTGTGTTAGTAGAGCACAGTCATAGCAGAGATGCTTTCGATAGAAAAGTAAATATAACCAAATGAAAGAACAAGGCAATATTAGAAGAAATGGACACTCTATATATCTTAAGTTTAAGAAACTTAGAGACATTACATAAAAAAAGAAAATATCAAATATATATAGATATATCTAACCTGATTGAAGGAATATACCCTAATGAGTATGATAGGCGATTAACTATCTACTCAGATTTTCAGTACACACTTATCTCTCTACCACGAAGACATATTATGAAGCCCCTGATAGTCTTTCAATCATGTAGATAAAGCATTTAAAGCGATAACAGAATGTTTGCTGAGAACAAATGTGATCCCTCCCTATATATATAGGCATTTCAACCAAAGTAGATATCTAGAGTGAAGTCTATTCGTCAAAATCACTGCTCTATTTGATTTGAGATATTTAGCTGATGATGTCCCACCCACACATCTCGATGTTCTAGTATTCTATCGGTAATCGGGGGACAGATTATAGAGGGGCGAGGAGTTTCATACTCATGTCTAGTCGGACATGGTGAGACAGAGATTGACAGACGCACATAGTGAAAAATGACAAGTGCGATTCTAAAAACTCTTAAGCATGTAACTTAGCAGCCTATGTGACGCGTTGGATTTTGAGGAAGGTATAAATATTTAATAATTAATACATCGCGGCCGTTAGATAATAAGTTTAAATATCGCATGATGGTTTCTGCTACAAGATTTCATCATTCCTAGAGAAGCTCTGGCAGCTCATTGTTCCAAAGCGCACATTTTTTATTATAGTACTCCTGTCTGTCGGATATGTTGCATACAACTTGTACTTCGTTCTCTCGTCACTCAAAAAGATTGCTGCGTACTTCATTCGAAATGATAACTCTTTCATCATATGTATTAAAAGTCCATAGCTGTTTATATCTGATTATTGGAGATATTAAACAAGTGAGTTTGAACTGTAATGTTTATTTATTGATAGTAAAGTTAAACAACAGAGACCGACGATCATCAGTTTATAGTGGATGTCTTTTTATAACAAATGAGAGTAGGTCAATATAAGAAGATTAAAGCAGACAGTTGATTATTAAATATATAAATTAATAATTATCTTTACTCAAATTTTCATAATCTCGTATGTAAACTGTAGTAACCCCGCATTCTCGATAGTATATTTTAAACTTTCTTACACACGCAATCAGGAAGTTAAGGACAGCAAAAATATAGTTGATTTTTACGGCGTGATCTTGGCTGAACTGATTGCGCCTAATATGCTCTGTAAATGATATATGTGTTATAAGCCCTCTCATACTTGATCGCATCTCAGGTGTCGCATAAGATGTCAGTCGCACGAGAATGTGATCATAGCTTCTCATGGTGAGTCCTTATGGATATTGTCGCGTGAGAGAGAGGAAAAGCAGTGCGGGTGGGGTTGGGGTGTAATCGTATTTGTAATGTCTTATAATAACAATCAGTCATTAAAAGAGATTTACATTAACTATTCTATTAATTATACGATCACCGCTTACATGAGCACCACGTAGCCTTATTAATACAGTGTTCGTGAGAGTTTAAACAGGTATCTATGCTATGCACATAGATGATATTAGTCCTCTATATTCTAATATGAAGGTACATTATTCAAATATGTGGCTCTGCAGACGACGTTTGCGCATACAAGTTGACATTGATGTTTTTTTGGTTCATTTATGTATTTCGTTATATGAAAGGCTACTTGGTTGCATTTGCTCATAGTATAGGGTAACTTACTACAGATTTGAAACGCTACTTACAAATGTTCTGGTAAGTTAAATATTATTAGTACTTATGAATAGCTATGAGTAAATATGTTCATTTCCTCACTATCATCTACTGATTTATAATCATTTCTCGCTGGCTTAACAAGCATATTTTTAGAGTCTAAATACAAGGAACACATATATTGATATTCGTGGTAAAATTATAATTCTGGTATGATGATATACATAGAAACGGTTTTTGTGTAACTGGGCGTATTTTACATATTTCAATACAGGTTATAAAATGGTGTTGAAGATGAGCGACTGGGATTTGTCTAGAGCAGAAGCTGTCGTTTCTGGACAGTCAGCTGGTTTTTGTGTCGCACTGGCAGCAGACTAGTTTTTTTAGAGATGTGAAGAAAGTTGTCACTCGTCTCTCAGCCTGCTAGTTGTTTTTTAGCAGTTTGGGGTATTCTTACATGGAGCTTCTGGTATGTGTATCTGAGTCTCGCTATTCAGATTATGGTGTTGCGTGGGTTTGATGCTCTGACATATTTAATAAGAAATGCTATTGTAATATAACGAGGAAAGAGAATAGTAAGAATAGTAGAATCATTATCATATGATAGAGATGATATATATTATAGTGTTCATCGAGCATAAAGAGTACCTGACTCACAAAAAGCCTTCGTAAAATTACAGACTCATCGTGTCTCAACAAACTGTCGCGTTATATAGAAGTCTAAGAGATAGGATATCTTCGATGTATTAGAAAAATCTCGGAGAGATTTTCTAGATAACTCTAGCTTGAAATAATACTGCTATACCGCGGTATAGCTTCCAAGATTTTACAGCTCGAAACGATGAACACGAATATGATAAGAATGCGTCTTATATACTCGTGAATAGTGGATAACTGTGTGCAATAACCAAAATGACCACATTTGCATTATATTAATAATATATGGAACGTCGCAATAATAACAGGGTAGACGCGATAAAAGGTCAACACATTAGACACTGCAAAAGTTAACACGTCTATTTATAGTGTAGAAAGGTACCATATAAAAGCTCGATGTTTATAATCGAATACAGAACGGGTCTAATTTGGTCATGCTCAAGCAAATATATATTTTTTACACCATAATGTTAATTAATGTGTGAGTATGTAATATTGTTACTAAGGGAGAAAATGACGATTTTAGATGTAGCGTTTGAAGGCTAACAAAACACATGCTACATAGAACATTCTTTTAATTTCATTTATATAAAATATAATCATATTTCGCGCCTCAATGATGAATGGTTCACTGCAGCAAATTGAAAGAATTGCTTTTGAATATGTTTGTGATACGTAAGAGTACAGAGTTACTGATAGTTCTTGGTTTTATAACATATCATTAACATAGCATAATCTTTATTTATACACATATATAGCCGCCAATATACAATTAATTGATTTAACTAGTATTTGTGTTTTTGAGGGACATGTGTAATGGACAGTGTAGTTTCACTACAGGTATAGGTTAAATTTTTGTGTTACTTGAATGTTATTCAAAATAATACTAAGAACATAATGTTATTATTAATTCATACATATAATTATGATGTTTAATAGTTAAGATAATTCTAGTTAGCAAAACTCTGTCATTTATTTTGTTTGTTTGTTTTTCTTTAAGTTCATTGTTTTTATATATAATAGAAATCAAGTTTTAGTTTCTTTAACGTTTTTATTTGATCTTTGATGTCATTATTATTGTGATTTACATGTCATTTAAGCAAAATGGCACAAATGTACGCTTGATTGATCGAATCAAATATTTTAAAATTATTAAGGTGAAAATAGGCATGACAAATATATACAATTTTAATGGTACAAAATAAGAGAGGTGTGACGCATATACACAGCCCTTCATATCAGGACGTATAATATTCTCAATTCTTGTCATCTCTTAGATATATTATCACATTTCTTTGAATGGTTGAAGACATATAATTATAAACTTGGATAAATTGATAAGACTTATAGGAAATTGTCTGTAATTAGTTATCTGTTTTACAGGCATTAGGTAAGCTAGAGTCCTTTATGAGATACCATATTTTCAGTGAGGATGCGTTAGTTTTTGTAGGTCTTGGTAGAGATATAATCTAGCTTCAATTTTGTGGTTTTTGAATTCTCTTTTCTCATCATTTATGGTTTTTTCTTTGCGCATTTTATTTACTTTTATCGGTTAAGGTAATATTATTTGTCTAGTGCATATATCTAAGTATAGAGAGTTAACTAAGAGGAATAAGAGGATTGTTCTAATAATTATAAAGTGCTTATATTCTCTTCAAACAAATAGTGTTAATCTCATACCGCTCTTATACTCTCTTGCACAAATAGCGCTTTATCAAATTTGATGTCATACAACTTCTGAAGTAAAACATGAAATAAGTAATATGTAAATGTTGTTTGTTTCTAATTATATAATCTATACATTAAGTTTACATAACTTATTAATAAATCACATGCTGTTTCGCTACAATATTTTGAGGACATAGATATCTCTATTATCTCTCCAGTTCATAGCTTAAGAATTATACATCTAAACTAAATAGTAATACCATCTAAGCTAAAAAGAAGCTGGTCGATACAATGTTATAGTTAGTTTCTACATATAACGCATCTCTATTCGCGTTAGACATTGTAATATGATTGGGCGTTCATGAATTAGTGTAAGTTTGGTTTAAAGTAGTGTATATATGTTTAGTTTAATTGGGTATGACAGATCTTACTACGACATTAGAGATGCTAAGTTCAAAGAGTCGACACGGATTACAAGCTTTATCTGTCGGTTAGGGAAGGAAGCTACATGTGCCTCATTACTGTAGGACATAATTTCATGCACAACGGGCAACCGGATAGTTAAGGCTAAAAATATGCAATTTTTCAAGTAAAATTAAACTAAGATCCAAAGGACCATAATGTGGGCTAACCTTTGCATATTTGACACAAAAGTAACTCACAAATAATGCTCTCGTTTAGTTAGAGCAAAGGTGCTACCAGTGTGGACTCACTGGTCAACTGCCTCCCCTGTGGAAATGGTCATAGTCAAATCATGTTCAAACCATATTTTTTAAAATGGCTGAACATGTCAAAAAGAACATGTTCTACCTATGTTTTGGGAATGTTATAACCACAAGTGTCTCTAAAAGGAATTCTTATACAGTGAAATTCTTGCACAATGCAGCTTTTGAATATGGACAAATGAAATTTTTGTACAAGTAGGAAGTAAAAAGGCATTTGCCTTAGTACAGTCATTTGAATAAATGGGAAGCATCTATAATCAACACAAAGAATTGCATATCAAAAAAAGTTCATCACACAGACCATACAATTGCAGTTTATCTGAAATCACTTAATTGCAAAATGTGTGTACATTGTAATTGGAAATGAGCTTTATATTACTGCCAAATTATTTTGAGTGTGATTAATTATATGAGTCTGCCTTTTCCTATATTGCACCATATGAATGAAAGAACAAGAATTGAATGAAATTGATAACTTTGTGGCAAAATAAGCAATTTCTCCTACAAAGACATCGAAAAGGATAAATAAGTATGAAAGAATTAATTTTTCAAAGTCTACGTTAAGCCATTCAGTACTTTACAATGTTGTTTTGATATAATGCAGATTTAAATAAAAGAGTTGTGAGTAAACAAATTGTACATTAATTTTTGACAACTATTTATACATGTTTTTAATTAAAATTGTGTTACAACAGCTTCATAATGATCATTTTCAAATATGATATGACATAAATGGACCACTTAAGAAATTTGGATAAAATGAACAAACATAAAATTCAAGATATCTGGAGTTGGCAAAACAGTGTCAAAATATTCCAGAATAAGTGGACACTTATGGTTATGATTTGAGTTTCAGGACCATGATATGGTTGTATTTTTGCTGTTAACTGTCAACATGATTTTCAACAACTGCTTTGATTATGAAACAGCAATGTTACTGACATAGTCAAAGTAACTTTTAGTTAAAACAAAACCATTTCAATGTCATCAATTTTAAGTTGGCAAATCATGGCCAAATCATTTTTGACAATGTTCAAAACATGGTCGACTTAGTTATGTCCGTGATTATTTTGACAGGGTTACAAGTTACAAGTATGTTTATAACAAAAGATAACAAAATTAGGAATTTCAGTGAAAAAATAGGGCATTTTTAGGAATTCCCTTTGAATTTTTCACTTTTTTAAGAATTTTAGCCAAACTGAAAAAATTAGGATTTTTTAGGAATTCTAGGGACACTGGACATCATGCATTAGTTTTGAACCACAGCATCAGCATCCCGCCAGAAAGTTACAGAAATGCATGACCATCATCTGAATGGTCACCTGAAATAAAGTTGACATACTGATGCACTGCTTTTCATGGTGACCATGCAGATTGCTATGTGGAGCACAGCAGCCTTGAGCATAGTAATGTGATGCTGATTCAGGCATACACATTCTCTTACCTGTAAAATACAAAAGGCCAAAAGCAGTACCAAAATATAAATCTCTTTGAATTCCTCGGCAATATATTTTTTAAAAAATATAGGAAAAATATTCAAAATATAGAATATAGGAAAAATAGGAGGTTTTTTTAAAATATAGGATTCCAACCCAAAATATAGGAGTTTGTAGGAATATAGGAATTGGTTGACAGCCTGTAATTATTATATATTACATGTAACTCCTCGAGGACATTTTTTGTGAAATCTTGAGCCTTCCAATCAGTCTGTGTGAGCAGTTGTGTTGCAATATCTTTCAGTTTTCCATATGCTGCATTATCGATATATTCATAGTTCCATACCTTTTCCTGTAAAGTATTAATAATACATAAATAAATCCCAAAATATTAAATTATGTTTTTATTGGCCATGGCTTAACAAAGTTATTGTTATACTGTTATATTTCACTGTTAAGTCTTATGTTGGACAGTTAATACCAGTATATAATACCAGATAATAAAAATAAGATTGCAATTGTGAAAAAAATGCTATGTCACCTCATTAATACAACACTAAATAGTAGGAACAGAAGTAGATTACTTTTCGTTTGTACAATTGAACATTGCCATATCGCAGGAATCTAGTAAATTTGGGGGTATTGGTCATATTTTAGCATTTATATGAAAGACAACAGCACATATGTTTTTATTGTCAGATACAAATGCATAAGTGTTATGATTGCTTCAAAATGAAATTATTCTTACTACATAAAGGTTTAGGTATAATATTAACCTTTTTCGCTGCTAGAGGGTTATTTATTTATTGATCACCTATTTGCCAGAAGATTTTCTAAGAAATTACTATTTTATTAATTAATATTAAAATGGTTATTTGTTATTAATATTATAATAATTATATATGTTTCCAAATCTGCTAGTATAATTATAATTATTGTCGATGGTATAATTATATATTTATTATGATAATTATTTTTATTATAATTATCATTATAATAGAAACGGCAAAAGCCGTGCGCATGGCAAATACGCCGAAAATAATATATGTTGTCCCTATGTCTGTGAAGGGGTAAATTGTATTACATAGCTGTATGAACTTTGAAATATAGTTTCAATTATTTTTCTTTAAATACTGTCTTTTGAATTAAAACGTAATAATTCATGATTTAAAATCGTCAAGGTTCAGAACTGTTCACAGTTAAAGGGAAATAGAGTGTAAGCAGCCTGATTGCTCAGGCATTTGAACTCAGTACTGTTTTTCGATGGTCCCGGTCCTGATTCATATTTTGTCGCCATGTAATATTTGGCAGCCAACGGGATACCGTGAATCAATAAAGCTCAGGGTTTAATTCAGATTGCTCTGTAACCCTGAGACATTCGCAAACGATTGCGGGAGAGTATGTCACGGTTCAGAACTATTAACAATTTAGGGGAGATGACGTGTAAGCAGTCGGATAGCTCAGTTAGTCGGGCTTTGATACGATATTCTGAGAGTCCCGGTTAGAGTCCCAGTCAGGCTGCAAATTTTTCACACCTGTTTAATCAATAATTATATACCGATCATTTCATAAATATACCTGCAAAGCCGACATCACTCTTATGCTAGAGGTCACAACCTCAAACTCATTTCATAAGATTCTCTGAAAGCAAACAATGACTCTCCTTTGCTACAGGAGATTACATTTAGACAAACTTCAAATAATTTTATTTAAAAAAACGCATAACATGTACATATGTACAAGAGGGCCATGATGGTTCTCATATCGCTCACCTGAATATTAATACTCTTAATGACAAGGGACAAGTGATATCGCAAACTATAAAAAAAACTAGATCTTAATCTTAAACAGATCTCCCACATGTCATATTTGTACTAAAAATAGAGCGCTTAGAGAACATTACTGGCTGCTTTTGCTAAGGGAAACAATATATACTTAAGAAGTTACTGGCTGCTTTAAAAATAATAAGTGGTTTCCCTGGAAGTGCTATAAAATTTAATGACGGATTCACTTGTTGCTACGAAAGTTTATATTTGCTATGGAAGTCACTAACTGCTATGTAAAAAATCAATGTTCGACTGGTTGCTTTGAAATTTACGGTTTGCTATGAAAAATCAATGTCTACTTGCTATGGAAAGCTAACAATTGCTTTGTGAGTTATTGCTAGCTAGGGAGATTAATTTGTTTTTACAAAAATTAGTGGTTGCTATTAGAGTCAAAAGTTGCTATTTGAAGTCACTTTTGCTATGGAAGTCATTGGTTGCTGGAGAATGTCATCGGTTGCTATGGAAGTCTATGATTGTTGTGGATATTCAGTGGTTGCTACGGAAAAGCAATGATTGATACTGAAAATCAATGGACAAAATTTGTCACTGGTTGCTTTGGAATGTCAATAATTGCTATTGAAAGTCATAACTGCAAATCAAGTCACTGGGAAGTCATTCGGTGCTTTAAATGTATATGCTAGCTATAGAAAGACAATGAATGCTATGGACAGTCACTGTGAGCTATAGAATCCACTGGTTGTTCTGAAAATATAGTGATTAATATGGAAAGATAATTGATGAAATATTAGTCACTGGTTGTTATCGAAAGTCAATGATTGCCATGGAAAAACACTAGTTGATATGGCAAGTCAATGGTTCTTACGGAACATAAATTGTTGCTCTTGAAAGTCATTGGGTGCTACCTCATTTTATGGTTACTATGGAAAGTAAACGGATGCTATTGAAGTGATTGGTGGCTATGGAAAGAAGATGTTTGCTATGGAAGTATGTGGTTGCTATGGTAGTTAAATGGTTGCCATGGAAATTAAATATTTTCAATTTTGGTCACTGGTTGCTGTGTAAAGTCAAGGGCTGTCATGGAAGTCACTTTTCTTATAAAAAACCATAGGTTGCTCAACAGTTGTTTCGTTCTTATAGAAAGACAATAGTTGTTATTTAAGTCACTGGCTGCTATGGAAGCCACTAATTGCTATTGAAAGTCACTGGCTGTTTAGAAGATGTATGGTTGCATTGGAATGTCAATGGCTGCTATTAGTCACTAGTTGTAATGTAACAACTGCTTACTATGGAAAGTCACTGGTTGCTTTGGAAGTCAGGGATTTCTATGGAAATGCATTAGTTGCTTTGGAAATGTATGGTTGTTTTAACCCATTACTTCATGAGCATTTTGTGAAAAATGGCTGTTTTCATTGAAAAGTCTCCCGTTTCAAGTTCAAATTGTTATACTACTATAAAAACTGCTTCAACACTAATCAAACTTGGCACAAATGTTGACTGGACCATTGCCCTTGCAACAACATGCTCAGGCTTAAATTTTCTGTTACCATGGCAACGAGGGGACATCTCAAAATTGCCAAAAATCACTATTTTGCGTTGATTTTTTCCATCAAAATTTATTTCAAAGTGCTGCAACTTCTCAATGGATTGAGATAGAGTCAAATGCTTTTCAGCGTTGGTTGCACGTTACCTTATGATCAATCTGGGGTCATTTACAGCCTCTCACAAGTCCAAAATTTTCTTGGCGATGAGGGGGACCCCGCCCCCGTTCAATCCCCCCCAAACAGAAGGGGGCACGTCCCCCTTCTGGCAACCCCCTGATGTATCTTTTGGTTAGGGGGCCGCGCCGAAAAAGAGGTCACTTTTTTTAACAACAACAAGTGTTTGGGGTCTAAATAAGGCATTTTTTCATCATTTGAGACAACAAAAAAGGGGGGAGGTGAAAAGGCGTTAAAAGGCGTGTATATGAAGTAATGGGTTAAAAGGTCAATGTTTTTTAGATATTTACTGTTAAATTTAAAGTTATTATTGCTATATTCTATTAAAATAAACCATTGCACATTATTTTAAAATAAAACTACAAACAAACAAAAACAAGAAAAAACTTTTTGAGTCTTTTATAATCATATAAAAATAATCTTAACAAACGACATTTCTACAAGGTATGACATGTTTCTTACATATATGTTATTTGTGACACCCTCAGCTTCGAAATCCTCAGCTGTCATGTTCTTCAAGAATTTCGTTTTGTTGCCTTCTGGTCCAAAATCGGTAATCATTTCTCTTACAACTGTTTGTTAAGAAGTAAATGAGACATTATTTCAAATTACTTACATTTCTTTTCACAAGTTGTTACATTGTTAAAAGGTTTCTGTAGTTTTTGTTCATTTTTAACAAAAACTGAAATGGTCATATGAGAACAATAAACTATAAATATACCTCAACTCATATGGTTGAGTTTTACATCATACCAACAAAGTATAGGTCACATGACGACTTACCAGCTTTACTGGCGGAGGAAGACCTCCATGGCCTCTCATTTACTATTTCAGGCTTGAACGGGTGCCCGAATTGAACCATTGATTTTTAGTAAGACATTTAGCAGAATAAATTACTCATTTAAAAGAATCGAAAGCCCTCATCGGGATTCAACCAACAGTAGGTGTTGGGCAAGTGGTTCAAAGTCAACCACCATGGACCACGAAAACCCTCAATGAAGTTTCATGTTAGAAAATTATATTGACTCATATTGTCAGTGTAAAAAATTATGGAGAGACTTGCATTTTGTATCACTGTACATCAGCATAGTTGAACATTTGATAATATTTTAAACAAGTTCACAAGTTAAATATGAATTATGAGGTACTACAGTACTACACTGTTTATTTCGGGAAATTATTAAACTAATCTATGAATTTATAATAGCACAAGGCAGTCTGAAGGACAGCTAAATCCCCTTCTGCAGTGAACATGAATGTGTATTACCAACCATGACCTTGATGTCGTGCCATGCATATGATAAGCACATAGTCTAACGATGGTGATTATTTTTGCCAAAAAATATGAAAAACAAGATCAACAAGTAACGGCGGCGTTCAATGAACGCAACCCCCATATGACCCAGCAACAAGAACCAATGGGAAGGAGCCCAGGCGGACCCCAAACAAAAACAGGACAGGGCAAAGACAGAGCACGACCAGGTTAATCATTACATAATAAATGATAAGTTATTTAAAATCTTCCATAAATTATAAAGTTATGGAGAACATATAACCTTGACCCAGGGGGTATTTAAAAGTTATGGAGGGGACATGAAATGTAGAATTTTATACATTTGACCTTAAGTGTGACCTCGACCTCGGGGGCAGCAACTCAATCATTGCGCTCTGCACATGTTCTGATGATGGTGATCAAGTGTGCCAAGTTATTTATTAAAACATTCGGTGGTTAAAAAGTTATGGAGCGGACACGTAATGTAGACTTTTATACATTTAACCTTGACCTTTTAAATAGCAACAAGATTATTGCGCTCTGCTCGTTGTCTCATTATGGTGATCACTTGTGCCAAGTTATTTAAAAAAACTTTTGAGCGGTTAAAAAGTTATGGAGCAGACACGAAATGTAGATTATACTTGTTGTTATATTTTTTCTGGTCCTTCGGGATCATTGATACCAGCACTATTAAGTGTTAGGAATTGAGAACCGCTCAAGCCAGTGCCAGGGGACGTGAGGGATCGTGCACTTATTCATTATCCCTCATGTACAGACTCAATCAAGCCGAGTCTGCAATTCGCTTGTTATTTTGTTGTGATTAATGCTTCCGAGTGATCACTTTGTTTCCGGATTTTTATTATTTAATTAAGACTTTAACGTTTGATCTTAAGTGTGACCATGACCTTCGGGGTAGCAACCCAACATCTTGCGCTGTGCACATCGTCTCATGACGGTGATAACTTGGCACAAGTTATTTCAAAAACTTTTCAGCTGTTTAAAAGTTATAGAGCGGACACATAATGTAGACTTTTTAACGTTTGACTTTTAAGTGTGAGCTTGACTTTCGGGGTAGCAACCCAACATTTTGCGCTGTGTTCATCGTCTCATGACGGTGATAACTTGGCACAAGTTATTTCAAAAACTTTTTAGCTGTTTAAAAGTTATGGAGCGGACACATAATGTAGACTTTTTAAAGTTTGACTTTTAAGTGTGAGCTTGACCTTGGGGGTAGTAACCCAATTATTTTGCTCTGCAAATTGTCTCATTATGGTGATCACTTGTCCTAAGTTATTCTAAAAAAAATTCAGCGGTTTAAAAGTTATGAAGCAGACACGAAAGTGTTACGAACGGACAGACAAAGGGACGAACTGACAGACGGAGGCCACTCCTATAATCCCCTTTTCGCTACGCGGAAAGTGATTGAAAGTCTCACTTTCAAGAGCAGATAATTAAACAAAGGGCCTAGAGGGCCCTGGATCGCTCACCTGAGAAATAGGTTAAACAGTTAATGTTAAGCCTTTTTTCACCCCAGAAGAAAAAGCGGAAATTAAAACATGGTGAAAAACACCGGATTTACAGTACATAAGAATAAAAAAATCAATGACCCCCGGGACAGGGCCAATTTTGACCCTTAGGGTAGATGATAGATTTTCATTAGAACATTTTCATGCCGAATATCTACGCTCTTACTCTTTTGGATTTTCAAAAGAAGTTTCTACTTTATATATATTTATTTAAGGACAAGAGGGCCATGAAGTCACTCACCTGTATAGAGACCCAGGGGCGGGCCAATTCAAACCAAGGCCAGGGTAAGTACATTACCTCTCCCTATTTATCATTAAACCTTATCCCCAAAAATGGTTTATTGTAGCAAAAATGTCAGAGGATCATTTAATTGATACTCGGCAAATATTAAAAACTTTTCGCTTTTTCGTTTGCCACAAGAATATTTTTTTTACAAAAAGGTTATAATACAGGAGAGCATGGGAGGTGGCTTTATACTAAGAAATAAACAGGCAAGGGACTATATGCAAACACTTAAGCTTACTATGTTTTACTAATTGCAGTTTCATACACTTACTGACACCAAAACTATAATAGTCCCAGCTCTCGTTTGCACCTTCTTTTCCTATATTAGGATGTGAATAATACAATCTTCCACCAGGTACAGTTGATACTAGTATATCATCCTCTTCTCTTGCCAAACCAAAACCAATAAGGCGGGCATTAAACATTCCATCCAACACAATATTTTTTGAGGCTATATCTTTGTGAAGAATTACAGCTCTGAAACACAACACTGACAAATCACAAGACAGGACAGTTTTTACTATAACATTATATAACTTGCAGAAGTAAACTTTAACAAATAATAAAACACATTGAAACACAATACCACTTGAGATGCATCAATGGGATCGCTGATATCTTGTACAAAATATTTCTATGCTTACATAATTTCTGGATATTTTCTTTATAAAATAAACATGACACAATAATAACTTATTCCATGTTTATGTATCAATAACATCATTGGAAATATTATCTTGATAAAATCAACAGGACACAAGAATAGCTTTCCTTCACAACAAATTCCATGTTTACATAATTTTTTAGTGTATTACAACCGTCCGTAAAATATTAGCTTCATTAAAACAAAAAGATACAATTTGCTTTCCTTATCTTTTTAACTATATTATAATAATGTAATTTCAATTTAAAACCTGCTAAATAAAACAAAAAGGGCATGACCGCTCTTATATCGCTCACCTTGTAATATAGGCTCTGAATTCATATTGTTTTTGTTTGTTTGTTTGTTTTGGGTTTTACGTCATATCGACATAGTATAGGTAATATCGCGACGTTCCAGCTTTACTGGTGGAGGAAAACTTCAGGTGCCCTTCCGTACATATTTTAGGCACGAACTGCAGCTGAGTAGAACCACCGAAGTTCCATAAGCTAGCTGGATAGCTTCCTCACATGAAAGAATCCAAAGTCCCTGTCGGGACTCGAACCCACAGCGGTGAGAGGCAAGTGATTTGAATTCATATTGTTAGCAATGTGAGAATTAAAAGCAGATGTAAGGTTTTACAATTAAAAACTGGTATCATAACATTCGTATCGGCGACTCAAATAATGCAAACGTTTATAAAATTTTCCATATATGCCTTTTGTCACATAGTCTTTGACCCAAGCCAAGATGACCCATATTCAAAGTAAAGCTATACTCATCAAAAAGATCAAGTATCATTTCAAGTACTTTGGGTTACAATAGCTACAGTGTTGACAAAGGTTTCCCATATTTGGCCTGTGTGGCCTAGTTGTTGATTCCCAGATGATCAATATTCACACTAGAGCTACAAAGCATCTAAATGTCATTTCTGACGAATTTCTATGATATTTAGATCAAAACAGTCGCCTCATAGAAGTAATACATGTATTACAAGTTTTGTTTCCATATTTGTATGTAGGCAACTCTCAACATTTTACTTATTCCAAAAGCAAACAAATATAAAGAAAAACAAACCTTTAAAAAAGAAAATTAAAGAAAAAAGAACAGGCGTTTAATAATCTAGTTCAGCTGATATCAAAGTTCAATTTTACTTCTTAAACTACACAAATAGTCCAAATGTCTTCACTATATTAAGCTATAGGAAAAAATGAGATATTGGCATTTATTCAACCTTAATGGTCATGGTCAATTAAAGCTCAAGGTCACATATTAATTATTCAATATGTTTGTGTTGCTACAAAACTTGTTTTGTCCAAATATAAATAAAAAATCTATACAAAAATAACATCATTATGACAATTTAACAAAAATTCAATAATATAATCTTAACGGATTAGGTCATTTATGGTTCAAGGTCAAGGTCAGTTCAATTGTTTCGAAGGACTTGTCAAAAGGTTGTTTTGTCCAAGTATGAAGATTATCCATTGATCACTTACCAAGTTACACCCAATTATAACAATAATGAGTGAAAATTCAATAACTTGATCTTCAAGATCAAGGTCATACATGAGCAAAGTCAATTTGAGTTTAATATACAACAAGGTTTTGACCTAAAAGATGTTGCTTCTAAATATGAAGGTACTCCATTAGTAAATAACGAAGAAATAGAAAGTAAAGAAAACAAGAGGGACCAGAGGGCCCTGGATCGCTCACCTAAGAAATAGGTTAAACGGTCAAAGTGGAGCCTCTTTTCACCCCAAAAGAAAAAGCGAAAAAACATGGCGAAAAACACCGGATTTACAGTACATAGAAGAGAAACCAATGACCCCCGGGGCGTGGCAAATTTTGACCATGAAGTTTAATTTCAACAAACATGGTAGATAGTCACCAGAACATGTTTCATGTCAAATATCTAAGCTCTTAATATTTTGGATTTTCAAAAGAATATTTTTCAAGTTTCTACTATATACATGTATATATAAGGAAAATCAATGGCCCCAAGGGCTTGGCCAATTTTGACCATAGAGCTTTTATTCAACAAACTTGGTGGACATTCATCAGAAAATTTTACATGATAACTATCTAAGCTCTAGCTCTTTTTGTTTATCACAAGAAGATTTCTTTTAGCTTTTACTATATACATTTAAGAGAAACCAATGACCCCCTGGGGCGGGGCCAATTTTGACCCTATGGCATTAATTTGAACAACTTGGTAGACATCAACTAGAAGATGTTTTATGCCAAATATCTAATCTATAGCACTTTTGGATTGTCACAAAAAAATTTTTTTTTATTAGTTTATATAGGGAAAATCAATGACCATGGCAACCAGAGTTCTTTATGGCATTTAATTTTTTGAACAACTTTAGTAAAGCTTCATGCAAGGAACATCTCTGCAAAGTTTCAACAAATTTGGCCAAGTGGCGTACGAAATGGTACTTTTGTGACTTTTCCATTTAATCTTTTTAGCCATTTTTAGGCACACAAGGCTTAACAAAAGACACAAAAGTAAAAACGGAATGAATAGGATCAAAGAGAAACAAGAATTTGTAACAGAGTTACCAACATCCCCCGCCTCGGGGAAATTTTAAAGACCCTTTCATTTAAGCGATAACAGTTTTACCGGATGTGACGTAAATTGGGGATAAAACTATGCAGGCCGCATAGAATGTAAGCTTATTGAAAAGTTAAATGCGTAAATACTGATCGTTCAATTATGATCATAATATGTAAAAAAATACGCATGCATACATAAATTCAATATCAAGACAATAGAAAAACATACAAAAACAAAGATTGAGATTAATTCTCGCTACATAGTGAAACAGCGAAATGTCAAAGTGAATATATTTATTAGATCTAGATTTTCTCTAATGCCAGGATACAAAGCTAGTAACTACATCAAATTTTAATATTTGATAAACACCCATACACACTGAAATTGCCTATTATAAATTTAAATGGTCATTTTTCTAGTTTTCTGTGTTATTTTACTGTCATTTAGAAAATTCTGGCGTATTTGTGACAAACATGCAATTAAGATTGCCAATAACTTTTAATGATTGTTTAACAAGCTTTAATAGAACAATAGCAGAATGCTTTCTGTCAATAGTGACATATTATACTTACTGATTCTTTTCCATTATGCCGTATAAAAAATATTTCAAAGAACCAGTGAATGATATAATTTTCAAAATATTCCGGAAAAAACATGTGGCAATGATTTTTATAATAGACGATAATAAGATAATTTTGATATAAAAAATCTATTCTTATGATTATAAAGATAAAGACATTTTCCCAGTAACTTATTTCATAGATAAATAGATGTGTATATATAAGTGCCACTGGGCCGTTTCAAATTAATTAACAAAATATGTTTTAAATACAAGCGGCACTTGGCTTTGATATCATAAATCACCAGAATGCATTTTTAGAGTTATAATAAAACACCAGATTATGTTACTTTTTTTAGTTGTCAAAATATTTATGATCCGAATTTTGTTATGGATCACCCTAGGGACTTTATTGGTCATGCCCTACTGAATTGATACTCGATCCAGAGTCCTACCAACTGGCACAGTCAAAAATACGTAAAATTATAATTCAGTTAATAACAAATTCCTGTGAACGTGTTTCACAACTTGTTTTTTTTGTGATTTTTTTTTAATATTTGATAAGCAGAGTACGAATTAGAAAGTATCAAGTTGAAAATATTACTTTACCAGCTTAAATATATTGGTGTGATGTACGATTTTTGAGAGTGCATTTTTTGCCGACACAAATAGTATACAGTCATGTACATTCAAGAATTTTTACTTTTAAAGCCTTTACTTTTTTTGAAATTACATAGATTCATATTGTTTAAAATGTTTTTAATAAACCACTATCTTGCAATTAATTATTACGCAGCCGTTTTTCGAAACTACAGAATCCTTACATTTTTGAAACTATACATAAATTTTGGTATTGTATATTAGCAGAGACATAGATACATTATCTATATCTCTGGTATTAGAAAGTTGGTATGATTAAACTGGCTGGTAAAATTTTCATTTTTAAGAAATTTACGAAAATGGTAATAATGATCAGTTACCCATCAATATGGTCTACCATTAAAACAAATCGTTAACATTATTAAGTAAACATGTGCATTCATTTCACCATCCTTTTTATGTAATATTTTATTCAATTACACAAACATTTGCAATTTCAATCTTACAAGAGAAAGGATTAAGATCTTTATATCCCTCTATTATTGTACGTAACCGTATCCCCCAATGACGTCATCTTAAATACGGTCTTAAATAAAAGGATCTAGATATGAAGCATACAATTGTGCTATTTCAAAAGATTGAGGTATGGATCTCAGGACTTTCAGTAAAAAATAATTATCAATGCTAGATCTGCAAATGCAACAATAAACTTCTGAAGAAAACAAAATGAAACATGGAATTCAAAAATCTATCATGTTTAGCTTTGACCTCTAAGTGTGACCTTGACCTTGGAGGTAGGGGTGCAGATGTTGTGCGTGACATATCGTCTTATTATTGCTACTTTTTGTGCCAAGTATTTTCAAATCCCTTGAACTATGAAGAAGTTATAGATCGGACACAAAATATACCATATAACAGACTATGTTAATATTTGACCTCTTAGTGTGACCTTGGAGGTAGGGACCCATGCTTTGCGCCTGACACATCGTCTTATTATTGTTATTATTTGTGCACAGTATTTTTAAAATCCCTTGATCTATGAAAAGGTAATGGACTGGACACAAAATATACCCTATAACAGACTATGTAAATCTTTGACCTCAAAAAGTGACCTTCACCTTGGAGGTAGGGATGCATGTGTTGTACTTAACATATCTTCTCATCATTGTGACTTTTTGTGCCTAGTTATTTCCAAATCCCAAAGAAATTCTAAATCGGACACAAAATATACCCTAAAACAGACTATGTTAACTTTTTACCTTTTAAGTGTGACCTTGACCTTAGAGGAAGGGATGCAGGTGTTGCGCATGACGCATCCTCTTATTATAGTGACTATTTGTGGCAAGTATTTACAAAATCTTTTGATCTATGAGCAACTTATGGACCGGACACAAAATATACCCTGTGACAGACTACATAAATCTTTGACCTCTGTGTGTGATCATGACCTTAGACGTAGGGACACATGTGCTACGCATGACATATCATCTTATCATTGTGACTATTTGTGCCATGTATTTTCAAATTATCTTGATCTATGAAGAAGTTATGGACGGAAAACAAAATATACCATAAAGCAGACTCTGTTAACCATTGACCTCTAAGTGTGACATTGACCTTGGAGGTAGAGGTCTTATTATTGTAATTTCTTGTGCCTAAGTTTTCAAAATTCCAAAGAAGTTCTAGGTCGGACACAAAATATACCCTAACACAGACTTTGTTAACTTTTGAACTCTAAGTCCTTGAACTTGGAGGTAGGGATACAGGTGTTGCGCATGACACATCGTGTTATTATTGAGACTATTTGTGGCAAGTATTTACAAAATCCATTGATCTATGAAACAGTTATGGACAGGACACAAAATATACTCTGTGACAGATTATGTCAATCTTTGACCTTGGATCTAGGTGACAAGTTACAGCAACAAAAGAAAATTTCAATAATTTGACCATTACGGTCAAAGTCATTTGTGCGTGTATGTCGTACGTTGTAATCAATTTAATATATCCGGTTGCTTTTATTAATCAGTAAATCATTGCCCGACCAGTATTCTGTACTTTGTTCCGATACTTTCAACATCTAATCTACCTTCAAACAAATTTTTGATCTGTTTATACAAGTGATATTTCTTGGTCAATCGTAATCCACTTTTAAATTAATATTTTTCAAACATTATATGGTTTTTCCTTATGCGTACTTTAACACCCTGGATGTATTTAATATAAATTCAGGTTTATTATACTTTTGTTATTTCTATTCATATTTCTTATTATACGAATCCATTTTATGTATTGTTAGCAGTCAGTTACGCGCCATTACACCTTCATATATATTGTTTTGTTGTTTACATTTTTAATATTTATATTTGCAACGTTTGAACATTGTTTTTTTTTTGTTGTTTAACTTGATAGATATCTATCTATATCTATATATCTGTGTGTGTGTTCACTTTATTTGATAACAACAATTGACTTAAACCCTATTTTATGACTATAAATTATTTTATCATCTCTCGAAACCCACATTTACTACAATTCATCAACTAATACAGGAGTTGAAAGGCCGGTGACATGGATGTCAATGTCTGTCAGTAAAAAGCTCTTGTGTACAATCCATTCAAAAAAAAACAAAAACAGGGCAGTTTGAAGGACATAAATGTGTACTTTTTCTTGACAATTTATCAACCACGACCTTGATGTTCTGTCATGCATATCATAAGCACATAGTCTCATGATGGGTGATTATTTGTGCCAAATTAAAATAAATCTTCCATAAAGTCAAAAAGTTATCGAGAAAATATAAACTTGACCTTGGGTGTAGCAACCTGGATGTTGAGGTCTGCAGATTGTGTCATGGTTGGAATCATTTGTGCCAAGGAATTTTAAAACCTTTGAACCTTTGACTTGTCAATAGGTTTTAGAGCGGACGTGACAAATAGATGTTTTTACATTGAACCTTTGAGTGTGACTTCAGATTTGTGACTTGATTGTTGTGCTCTGCCAATAGTGTCATAATGGTGATAATTTCTGCCAAGTTATCTTAAAAACATTGCAGCGTTAAAAGGTTATGGACACACATGAAACTTAAACTTTTTATCATTTTACCTGTTCGTGTGACCATGACCTTGGGGTACCAATTCAATTATTGCGCTATGCACATCGTCTTATAATGGTGATCACTTTTTTTCAAGCTATTCAAAAATATTTCAGAGGCTAAAAAATTATCAAGAGCACAATAACTATAGACTTTTATACATTTGACCTTTAAAGGTGAGCCAATATCCTGGTCAATACCCTGATGTTAAGCTCACTGGTTTTACACTTTTATTGTTAAAGAACGAAATACTTCAAGGACAGGCTAACTTGTTACCTGACATCAGGCACTGCAGTGTGGATGTACTGGATAGCTAATGCAACTTGGAGGAGAATTTTCACTCTTTTCTGCGCATTCAGTTTCAGGATTGACTTTTTCCTGTCATGTTTGAGGACTTCATCAAGACCACCGTTTTCACAAAGTGGAGAGACGAACCAAACCTCTCTTTTTCTGAAATATCAAAGTGTCATTTAAAGGGTTTTTTTAAAGTATTTAAGTGTATATTTACTTTGTAATATTAATGACTTAAAGTTTTAAACTAGGATTGTGTCAATAGGAGAACATTTCCCCATAAACAGCTTGGTAGCTGGATAACTTGAAAGTAAACCAGTTTAAAAACAATAGGGCGTAGATGGCCATATATTGCTCAACTGACCCATCGAACTCATCCGAGCAATTACATAGATAAGCATTCTGACAAAGTTTCATGACAGGTGAGTCAAAAATGTGTACACCAGAGTGTAAACAAGGATTTTCCTAGTTTTTGACACCAGGTGACCCATATTCAAACTTGACCTAGAAATCATCAGACCAATTTCCAGGATATTTGGAACAAAACAGTAGCCACTAGACTGTAAACAAAAATTTCTATTTTAAGCTCCTTGGACCAAGTTTTTCATCCGAGATTACCCATGTTAAAAGCATACCAAGCAAACCTAGACAAGCATCCTGACCAAGTTTGATGACAATTGAGTCAAAAATGTGACCACAAGAGTGTTACCAAGGTTTTTCAATACTTGGGCGGTGTGAGCTAGTTTTTGACCCCAGGTAACCCATATTTGAACTTGACCTAGAAATCATCAATACAAACTTTCAGACAAATTTCCAGCATATTTGGATCAAAACAGTAGCAACTAGAGTGTTAACAAGATTTTCCTATTTTTAGCTCTTGTGGCCTAGTTTTTCACCCGAGATGACCTATTTTGAAACTCATCCGAGCAATTACCTAGACAAGCATCCTGACTAAGTTTGATGACAATTGAGTCAAAAAATGTGACCACCAGTGTTTACAAGGTTTTTCCATATTTGGGCAGTGTGACCTGACTTTTGACCCCAGGTGACCCATATTTTAACTTGACCTAGAAATCATAAAAAAACTTTCAGACCAATTTCCATTATATTTGGATCAAAACAGTAGCCCACTAGAATGTTAACATAATTTTCTATCTTTAGCTCCTGTGACCTAGTTTTTTATCAAAGATGACCCAGGTTCAAACTAATCCGAGCAATTACCAACATAAGCATCCTGACTAAGTTTGATGACAATTGAGTAAAAAAATGTGACCACTAGAGTGTTAACAAGGTTTTTCTGCTTTTAGCTTCTGTGACCTAGTTTTTCATCCGAGATGACCCATGTTCAAATCCATCTAATCAATTACCTGGACAAGCATCCTGATTATGTTCGATGACAATCTGGTGAAAAATGTGACCACTAGAGTGTTAACAAGATTTTTCTATTTTTAGCTCTTGTGACCTAGTTTTTCATCCGGAAGACTCATGTTCGACCTCATTCTAGCTATTACCTAGACAAGCATCCTGACAAAGTTTGATGATGATTGAAGCAAAAATGTGACCGCTAGAGTTTTAACAAACATGTGTGGACAGACAACGGACATTCAACGATCCTAAAAGCTCAACCTGAACTACCTCAGGTTAGCTAAAAATCAAGAATGTCTTTGGTAAACACAAATGCCCCCAGCCTGGAATCTTCTCCGACAAAGTTTTTTTCTAAAAAGCTATCACTCACCTGATCTCTATTAATGACAAGAATCAATTAATATTGTTAACTATAATTGAAAAACAGATATGATTTTATCCTTACACTAATAACATAACAATTATATATGTGCAAATGTAAACAAGCTTTGCCATATTAGGGCTGTGTGACCTAGGTTTGACCCCAGATAACCAATATTCAAACTTTAGCTACCAGTATAATTTGACTTATAGTATCAACTCCTTGTTTTTTATTCTTTATTTTTTTTTGCATACTTAGACTCTGAATTTAGATTTTAACCCCAGATGACCAATAATTAAAGTTGAGATAGAAATCAACATTACAGCCTTTCTGAAATATTTCTAGGATATTTTTGGGCTGAAAATATTGCTTCTTATATAGGGATGTTTAATCATGTTTTTCACCCTTGATGAACCATGTCTGAAACTGAATTACAAAGCAGAGATGACTTTCATTATATTTTAAAATAAAATATAACCTTCAGAATGTAAAGTACTTTTCCAAATGTTTGGGATAAACCAAGTTCTTGATCCCAGATAACCGATACCTAATATTGAGCAAGGAAACCTCCACACAACCTTTCTGTCAAATTTTAAGGAAATTTATAGGCTGGAAGTGTACCCTTTAGAGTATTAACTAGAACTATCACTTAAGGTGATTAAGACCCCCACCAGCACAGCAACCTTGACTTTTTGAAGAAATAATAAAAGTTTTCAATTCAGCATTAACTATATTTAACAAGAGCCCGGTTTAAACCGGATGATGCTCCCAGAATATGTTTTTGATACAGAAAAGTAGACCTCTTGTACTTTAAAGTGTTATGTCCCTGGACAAAGTTCAACGTGCAATAATTCCAGAATAAGGCAAGGCAGAGTAACTGTTCTTTACCCTGGTCCTCTTATAAACAAGATCTATCTACCTACAAAGTTTTTTGTTGCTACCTGTTATGGTTTCAGAGTTATGTCCCTGACAAAGTTTAAAATGTAACAAGAATGCATTTGTGAAAAAAATGCTATGCCACCACATTAATATTACAGAAGTAGATTTTTTGTTACTATAAAATTGAACTGTGCCATACTGCAGTAGTGTTTAGGGGTCAAGGTAATATTTCAGCGTTTCTTTTTCTCTACTTTGGGAACAGCGCCGGTACGAGACTGATTGGGAAAAATGCGTTATTTTGACTCAAATTGGAATTTTTATTAAGCATCTTTTCTGCTACCATCATGAATAAAGACAGCTAACAGCTTCCACTGTCCAGGTAGAACTATTGAGTTGTAATTTATATAAACCTGTTAGAGAAATCTAATGGCCTTGTGGGAATTTTGAACAGTCATTTTCTGATTTTTCACATTAGTAATTGGGAATTCCATGTCTTTTTTCCATTGGGAACAGTACCTTTTTCGGGAAGTTGTTATATAAAGAAAAAGAAACACTGTATTTCAGCATGTAAAATCATTAGACACATGTGCAGATGTGTTTTAAGTTAAGATCATAGGCCATAGTGCAATAATTGATTCAAAAATAAAAGAATTTTATTGACAAAAAATAGGTATTTAGAGTATAACATAGCTGTATTAAACTTTGAAATGCAGGTACAGTATCTTTTTCTTAAAAATCATCTTTTCAAATAAACATTACCAATTTCTAAAAACATAATCATGTCCTTATACTATGCTCAAATTGTTTCATTTGATATCTCTACAAAGCTTACAACTATCTTGCTAGAGTTCATGATCTAAATCATTTCATAAATATCTCTGAAAATCATGACCTTTAGACTTTCTCCCAGCTATTGAATTACATAAAAGATGCATAATATGTATTAAAAATTCCAATGTAAGTTGTTACCTTTCACACAAAAATATGAACCCAGGGTTATAATTTAAACAATCTTAGTAGAGGTTTACTACACAATGTTTGATGACAAATATCTAAGCTCTAGCCTTTGTAAATTCCGAGAAGAAATTTTTTTCATTATATACACATAAGGAAAACTATGACCTGCGGGGCGGGGCCAATTATAACACTTGGGGCAAAATTTGGTAGAAGACTTATAGATGATATCATATACCAAATATCAAAGCTCTAAGCCTTGTTCCTTCAAACGGGAAGATTTATTTTCAATTTTTTACTATATATGTACATAATGAAAATCAATGACCCCAAGGTCAGGGCAAATTTTGACCCAAGGGCTATAATTTGAACAATTTCGGTAGAGGTCCACTACACTATGCTTCAAGTAATGTTTTACCTCTAGCCTTTGTTAATTCAGAGAAGAAGTTTTTTTAAGATTTTACAATATACATATATGGAAAACCTATGACATCCCCCCAGGTTGGGGCCAATTTTGACAGTAGAGGCAGAATTTGAACAACTCTGGTTGAGTACCTTATAGTTGGTATCATATATCACAGCTGTAAGCCTTGTAACTTCACACAAGTAGATTTTTTAAAGTTTTTTCTATATGTGCATAGTGAAAATCAATGACTCCCTAGGGTGGGGCCAATCTTGACCCAAGGCCTATAATTTGAAAAATCTTGGTAAAGGTCTACTACTTAATGTTTCATGCCACATATCTAACCTGTAGCCTTTGTAAATTCAGAGAAGAAGATCTTTAAGATATAGCTATATACATATATATGGAAAATCTATGGCCCTTGGGGCGGGGCCAATTTTGACACTAAAAGCAAAATTTGAACAACTTTAGTAGAGGACCTATATATGATAACATATACTAAATATCAAAGCACTAAGCCTTGTACCTTCAGAAATGAAGATTTCTTCTATATGTATATAGTGAAAATCAATTACCCCCGGGATGGGGCAAATTTTGACCCAAGAGCATTAATTTGAACAATCTTTGTAGAAGTCTACCAGGCAGTGTCTTATGCAAAATATCTAAGCTCTAGGCCATGTGGGTCTTTACAAGAAGATTTTTTTTTAATTTACTCTCATCATTCCTTTTGGTTGCCATGGCAACCAAATTTCTAAAATAATGATCTTTTCATTAACCATGTAGTTTCAAGTCCATTATGCCAATGCGGCGCCGACATCGAAAATGCGGAACACTATTTTTTCCGATGTAAATTATATACTATGCAAAGACGTATACTTTTTTGAATACCAGGTCATTTCATCCTCTCAGTAGTAAGAAATTATTACACGGTATTGATGGACTTGCAGAAGCCGAAAACAGACTATTTCAAGAAGTGCACAATTTCATCAAAAATAGTAGAAGATTTACCTAACTTTGTTTACACATGTACTATATTTATTTCCATATTTAGTTTATTAAAATACTGCTGCAAATCAAGGTTTTGTGCGTTTATTCTAGTGGCAAATTGTTAATGGCATATTTTTTTCCATTTTATCTCAGTCATTTTGTAATTTTCTTTGTATATTTTGGTTAAGCGATTTCTTTTTTTAAGTTAAAATACCGAAACTAATATCGCTTATTATATAGATATCTCAGACTTTCTAAAATCCATAGTTACTACCTATGTTACCATTAAGCCAACAAGATAGACCTTTAGGGGATGACCCTAAATAATGTTGGTATAACTTTAGGTCCAACCCTTTTGTATGTACATTATATTTATGCATCAGATAATGATGTTAGATTGTGTAAATTTATCAAGTGCAAAATATAAAATAAAATATTATTAAACTAAACCAGATTTCTGCATGGAATCAAATTCTTTGAATGACTTTGAAGCCCTTCTCCTAGGCAGGTATTAATCCTGCCAAGTTTGGTTTAAATTGGACTAGTGGTTTTTCACAAGAAGATTTTTTAAGTTCGTAATATTATCTATATAACACACACACACACACACGCACGCACGCACGTACACACATACACAGGTGAATCGCTAAAAATGAACAAAGGGCAATAAGGCTGAGTTATGTTTCTTGTGCACTGCACATCTACTATTTGAGATTTATGTACCTACAAAGTTTCATGTTGAAATCTCTTATAATTATAGATATGTCTCCGACAAGATTTTTCTAAAAGGAGAGATAATTCAGTTACAGGGCTAACTATAGCTATGGTTCTTTTGTAATGCACTTCTACTCAACAAGATCTCTTAACCTACACAGTTTCATGTTGATATCCCTGATAATTTTAGATAAATATCACGGACAAAGTTCAAAGTGTAAAAATAATTAAAGGGCAATAAATTTAACAAAGCACTGCACTGCATTTACTCATTGAGATCTATCTACCTACAAAGTTTCATGTTGATATCTCTTATAATTTTAGAGTTATATTCTGGACAATTTCAAAGTGTAAAAATAATTAAAGGGCAATAACTCCAAAATTAGGCATGGCAGAGTAACAGTTCTTATTCACTGCACAGCTACCCTTTGAGATCTATCTACCTACACAGTTTCATGCTGATATCTCTTATAGTTTTAGAGTAATGTCCCTGTCAAGATTTTGCTAAAAGGGGTGATAATTAAAAAAACAGGGCTGAGCAGAGTTATGGTTCTTTTGCACTGCACATCCACCCAATGAGATCTATCTACCTACAAAGTTTCAGAGTTACGGTTCTTATACACTGCAAAGCTACCCATTTAGATATATCTACCTACAAAGTTTCATGTTGATATCTCTTATAGTTTAAGAGTTATGTCCCGGACAATTTTTTTCTTAAAAGGGAGATTATTCAAAAACGAGGCAAAATATAGTTATTCTTCGACACTCTCTCTGCCTCAATGTCCCCTACTACTTGTGAAGTTTAAACAAATCATCTCCAAGTGTTTTCAAGTTATGTTCTGGACAAGACAATGGCTGGACGGACGGACGGACGTACTTACGAAATGGTACTTATGTAACTTTTAGGCATTTTAGTCACACAAGGCTTAAAAAAGACACACTAGTAAAAACGGAATGAATAGGATCAAAGAGAATTTACTGTTACCTCTGAGTTTGTACGATAAAATGACAGACGGACGGACATGCAAATTAAATGGACTAAGGGGTCAATCCCTTTGTTATTTTCTTTTGTTTAATAGAGTGCCATGGTCCCTTATTCTATTGTTACGGATTTAAGTTTATTGTTCTCCTATGTTCTGTTTACAGCTACATGGCCCCCTACATCTCTTACATAGCACGGACAGACAGACAAGGCAGCAACTTTATGCTCTCCTTTCGGGGAGCATAAAAATGTAAAAATCTGGATACAAAACTGGACGAACAGTATATTAGATGTGAGGACAGATATTATAGAGATACTCCTATCGCAATACTGGCAGGCGATGAAAGAGCAGAGCCTTGTCAAACATTAAACAAATACTAAACATTAATTTTCAGCTTACTCATTTGTCTCATTTGACTTCTCAACAACAGCTAGGAGTGGGAGTATAAATGGGTTCATCAGTCTACACGCAATTTTCTCCTAAAATAAAAGAATTTCTTTAATCAGTTTCAATCTTCTTAAGTAAACCTGTTTTGTCAACAATATATTTCAATATATATTTTTAAACAAGTTTCGTCATTTTAGCCACATTAAAGATATCGGTTCAAAATGTTGTTTACGTTAAATACATAAACTGTACGTATAAATTATTAGTTATGCTAAAGAAAAATAATGAAATTACCCTTCTGACTTGGCTTTCAATTTTCGAATCACCCTTTGTATTTATCTTCTTCACGGCCACAGGGATGCCAAATATGTCCGGATTGTCTGTACAAATACAGAAAGAACGTATCAACAAGAGCCACCACCAGGCAGGTGGCAATGCTTGACTATTTTTACTTGTACTAAAAGCAAACATATAAACAGTTTAAACAAAGTTATTATGTGTTTTTTTTAATTTCAATATGTCTGTCTAGTAACGCTTCTTGTTTTGTCTTAGTATGAATAATATTTCATAAATTAATGACAATGGTCTGAAAACATTATTAAGTAGAATTCAACAATTTGACAGTTAACGCCATTGAAAGGTCAATGTCATATCTAAATCATTCAACATGTTTGTAATGGCACAAGTGTTTTTATGTCATTTATGTATAAATATGATCATTAAATAAGCAACAAAATTATGAAAACTTAACAGAAATTCAATAATGTTTGTATGGTTCACCTAAAATATTATTTTGTTAAAGTTTGCAAATCAACCAATTAAAGAAATAACCAGGTTAAAGCATCTAATAGCAAAGATCAGCAAAAATGAAGTGTCACATTGAAGGTTCCATGATAACCGCCTTATGAACACATCTGCGGATGTTCTTAAATTCAAAATTTTACTTTTTCATGTTTAAATGTTGAATTCTGCTTAAGCCGGTGCTAGGGGGCGTGGACGGTAACTTGCACTTTCCATTACCGTCCAAGAACAGACTCAATCAAACCGAGCCTGCAACATTTTCAATTTTGCCGTGTTGGGCTTTCTTTAGGGATTCTGTATTTATCTATTAAAGTCATGGTCATTTTTGAACGAAGGGCAAGCTTAGTCTGGTGTGCTTGAAGGTCATGTCCCAAATGTTGTTGTCGCCAAACATGAAGAAAATACACTAAGAATTTAAAAAGCTATGACCAAGGTTAAAGCTTGTGGACGGCAACAGCAACAGGAACATCTGGTTCACAATGATTAAAACGATACCCTTTTTTAAATAGTGCTAAATATCAATACAGCAACTAATCTGAACTTTTGCCTGAATGATATGTTTTAAGGCTTTAAACAAACAAACTTTCCAAAAAAAGTTGAAAAAACACACAAGCCGTTTGAAGCACAGCTTAATGCTTTCCGAATCGGAAATGAATGTGTACTTCGTTGTATTTTAGTTCTATCTATTCGGCATCTTTTTTGTTGGATGGTTGGGTGGTTCCAGAATTCCACTCTTGAATACTGTTGAATCACCCGAAGGATATGATGCCTACTTTTTAAGTTTGTCTTTTGACGTAATATCTGTGATATGCAGGCTTCATAACCTCAGATCCCCTTTCAAAATTCCATTTTATTTAGTTCCGCCCATTGTTTTCTCGTTTAGGGCACACGCATTTTTTTACTTGGGGACCATATGCCGCTTTTCATAGAATGACACTAAAGTATCACATTGAAGGTTCCATGATAACCGCCATATGAACACATCTGTGGATGTTTCTCACTTTTACCAGTTCATGTAAAATGTTGAATTCTGCTTAAGCCGGTGCTAGGGGGTATGGACGGTAGTTTGCACTTGACAGTACCGTTCATGAACAGGCTCAATCAAACCGAGCCTGCAACATTTTCAATTTTGCCGCGTTGGGCTTTCTTTGGGGATTCTAATTTCACTCTATTTTTTTGCACAATAACTTTAAACCGATGAAACTTTTTTATAAATTGGCACAAGTGATCACCATTATGAGATGTTGAGCAGAGCACAATAATTTGGTTGCTACCCAAAAAGTCAAGGTCGAACATAAAGGTCAAGTGTTAAAAGGTCTACATTTCGTGTCTGCTCCATAAATTTTAAACTGCTGAAAATGTTTTTAAATGAACTTGGCACAAGCGACTACCATGATGAGTTGAGATGTTCAGAGTGCAACAAGAGCCATGTCAACATGGCCATCCCCCGCCGAATGTGTTTGCTCATTGGAAGAATGTATATGTAATGCAGAATAATTCAATTTTAAGAGGTCTTTTTGTAATGAAAACTAATGACTGAAGTGATAACAGATTTGAAACCAATGTGAATTCTGATGGCTGAAAATAACAAAGGGCAATAACTGAAAAATAATGCAGGGTAGGTTATCATTCTTGGGTGCTGCACCCCTCCTCAATAAAATCTATCCACCTATGAATTTTCAAGTTGATACCTCAAAAACATTTTGAGATAAGCTCTGGACAAAATAGTATAAAAATAACAAAGGGCAATAACTCAAAAATTATATAGGGAAGAGTTATCATTCTTGCGCACAATATTCCTCCCCAATAAGATCTATCCACCTATGGCATTTCATGTTGACATCTCAAACACTTTTGAGTTATGCTCAAAATTAAGTATGAAAAAAAAACAAAGGGCAATAACTTAAAAATTATGAAAGGTAGAGTTATCATTCTTTTGCACTGCACATCTCCTGAGTGTGATCTATGCACCTATGAAGTTTCATGTTGATATCTCAAAGGCTTTTTGAGTTATGCTCTGGATGGACAAAAATTAAATTTGAAAAAATAACATAGGGCAATAACTCAAACATTACGCGAGGCAGAGTTATCATTCTTGTGCACTGCACTCCTCCTCAATGAGATCCATCCACCTATGAAGTTTCAAATTGATACCTCAAATACTTTTTGAGGTAAGCTCCGGACAAAATTGTATGAAAAAGAACAAAGGGCAATAACTCAAAAAATGTATAGGGAACAGTTACCATTTTTGTGCACAGCATTCCTCCTCAATATGATCTATCCACCTATGACATTTCATGTTTACATCTCAAACACTTTTGAGTTATGCTCCACTCAGGTGAAAAATAAAGTATGAAAAATAACAAAGGGCAATAACTCAAAAATTATGAAAGGTAGAGTTATCATTCTTATGCACTGCACACCTCCTGAGTGGGATCTATGCACCTATGAAGTTTCATGATGATATCTCAAAGGCTTTTTGAGTTATGCTCTGGACAAAAATTAATCTTAAAAATAACAATGGGCAACAACTCAAAAATTATGCAGGGTAGAGGTATCATTCTTGTGCACTGCACTCCTCCTCAATGTGATCCATCTACCTATGAAGTTTCAAGTTGATACCTCAAATACTTTTTGAGATATGCTGCGGACAAAAATGTTGGACGGAAGGACGGACGGACGAACTGAAGGACGGACGGACGGATACTTTTTCTATACCTTTTCGGCGGGGGATAATAATTGGTTTGCTACCCCCCTAGGTCAAGGTCATATTTAATGGTCAAGTGTTAAAAAAGTCTACATTATGTGTCCGCTCCATAACATTTAAACCTCTGCAACGTTCTTAAGATTACTTGACTTGGCAGAAATTATCACATTATGACATCATGTGCAGAGCAGAACAATAAAGTTACTACCCTCAAGGTCAGGGTCAAACACAAAATCCAATGTTTAGACATCTATTTTTCAAGTCTGCTTTTTCACTTATTGACAATTCAAAGGTCTTAAAATTACTTGGCACAAATGATCCCAACCATGAATAATCTGCAGAGCACAACAGCCAGATTGCTATCTCAAAGTGACATCCATGTTGCTACTCCCGAGGTCAAGGTTATATGTTTTCTATAACCTTTTGATTTTATGGAAGATTTTAAATAACTTGGCAAAAATAATCCCCATCATGAGGCTACATGTTTCCTCATGATGGTGATTATGGTAGCAAGTCTTGTTTTGTCCACATGTAAATAAAATCATTAAATAAAAAACAATATTATGCCAATTTAACAAAAATTCAATAAATTTACCTTGACGGGCAAGGTTATTTAAAGTTAAAGGTCAAGGTCAGTTAAACCTTTCAGAAGGTCTTGTCCGAAAGGTTGTTTTGTCAAAGTATGAAAATGATCCATTTTTTAACTATATATCAAGCAGGGTCGTTCAAATAGAATGGCCTGAAGTCGGATCAATTTTACGAAAAAAGATGCCTCGGTTGAATCACGTGAATAGGTTATTTACCAACGGCGATCTCGCAAAGTACATGACCATTAAAAATCAAATTATAAGATAATGTTTTGTTTAATCTATCAATCAAAAAAGTACTGAGATGTAATCCTGGTTACATGACATTGTTAGTTTTAACTTTAGAAAGTAACCAATTTTATAGATTTGCAATGAAATGATAATTTTTTTTTATTTCTGGTGTCAAGGTAAAATTTTCTGCTCATATTTGAAAATAGGTCCGAGTTTTATAAGCTTTTTTAAATTTATGCATTGATGGAAAAATAAAGATTGATTTGATAGAGAGAATATTTTATTAAATCGTTTCATGTAAAAAGTTTAAAATATTTTACGACATTAATTACAAATATTTGATGTTTTATTTGGTGAATTTTCAAAATAGCACCGTTAATAAGCAAATTTCTGAACAAGCAATCTTTGTTTTTTCAACAGATATGGCTTTAAAAACATTATATTTTGAAATATTATTTTTTTTTTACAAATTTAAAGATCCTGTAACACATTTTTTTCATGGTTTTATTTCATAAATATGACGCTCAAAGTAAGATTTGTCAGTCTTGTAAGTTCAAATAAGCATTATCTTTAAAGATATTAACCAATTTAACATTTTGCGTAAATAAAGGGAGGTAATTAGAAATTTATTTTCTATAAATTCCAAGTCAAATTTTCCAATAAGAAATGAATGCATGTAAATTATTGATTAAATATAATGTGCACAAATATTTGCAGTACACATTTTACATATTCTTGTATGTTTGAAAATTGTTTTATTTGCATAATTATATACATATATAACATTTTGCAAGTGTATGATGCATACAGTAACAATATCAATCACAAAACATACAGGATCTTTAAAGATTTTTTAACATCATCATTACATTAGAATTATCTTTTTTGTATCTAATTTTTGCCATTTTCTTAAACATTTACCTAATTTGCGTATAGGAAACTATGCCAGGTTCTGCCGACACATGTTTAATTGTATCGAGAAGGGTTTACATAGCTCGTTTCCGAATTATTCTATTTGAAAGACCCTGTATCAAGATACAATCATGCTAACAAATATCAGAGAAAATTCATTAATTTAACCTTCAAGGTCAATGACATAAAAGAGCTAATTTCAATTTAAGTTTAATATACATCAAGGTCTTATCCTAATTTATCCTAAGAATGTTGTGTTATAATATGAAATAAATTACTAAATTAATAACAAAGTTATTGCCAGTTACAGCAAATATGAAAATTTCAATAATTTGATCTTCAATGTCAATGATGAGTGAAGGTCAAGGTCTGTCCGATAAGCCTTAACGTCTATACTAAAAATTATTATGTTCAAGTTTGAAAACAATACATTAAAATAAAAGTAAAAGCCACTTATAGCAAAAGTCAGCAAAAGATAGGCAAAAATTTAGATATTTAACCATGAAGGTCAAGGTAATTTATTAATGAAGGTCATGGTAAGCTTGGTCTTCTTAGGGTTGTTGTGGCCAAGTATTAATACAATACATCAAAAACTTAAAAAGATATGATCAAGTTAAAGTTTTGACGGCAACGGCAATGTTTTTCAAATGCTGTCATGACTGTAATAATACCTCTATTTTCTTATTTAAAAAAGTCGACCTAGAAACAACTAAAACTTACTCAGTATTCTTGAATGTTGATATATAAAGCCAAGATCATCAAAAAATAAATCTGAGGGGTGTGCAAGTTTCGTCCAGTAACAGATTGTTTTAAATTTCTGCATGAAATTCTCATGAAATTTTACTTATCGTACGCTTCAATGCATAAGCTATACATACATACCCGGTTTATATCATTCCAAATTGTTTAAGTTGATATACATTTAAAATATTGAGGACATACCCACTAATGTAACAAATGGTTGGGAAACGATCTTTGCATTCCTCTGAAATTCGGAGTTATATCAAAGTGTGTCATCATCTTGGAATTGAACCGAAAACAATTTACAATGAAATTTGTCAAGTTTATGGAGATAGTGAAGTTTCCTATAGACTTGTTATAAAACTGGATTGCTAAGTTTCAAACTGGTGTTGAGTCTATCAAAGAGGCGGTAAGATCTGGAAGAAAACCAACTGCGGTGACCCCTAAAACACTTAAAATGTCAGTAAAATTTTAGAACCGGATACTAGACAGACTTCTCCTGACATAGCTAAGATGGTTGGGATATCACAAAAGTCACTGCAAACAATTCTGAAACAAGAGCTGTCGGTAGGACAGCACGCTCGACTATTCTAAGTGCTTGATAGTAAAAGAGCCTTGATAATGTTAAATTTTCTTAGTTCACAAAAGGGCTAATTTTTTTTTATAAATTCATGTTATAGGCCTTAGAGAGAGTCTAATTATACAGTATTGGCTTGACTATTTGGAAGGTAATGTCACAAGGGTGTTTAATTGAGTATAATAATACTAAATACCTATGAATACATAAAATTGACAGAAAACGTACAAAGGCTTGTTATTAAGATGTTTTATCAAGTAAATCACTGCTTTATTATAATGAATGCATAAAATTGTCCCAAAAAAGGCATAAACCCTTCAGTAGTTATGGAGATAACAGCTTACAAGCAAAACTTTACCATGAATTTCTAAGTTGAAAAAGGGAAGAAAAATCAGCCTAAATGCAAGATAGAATTACGGATCTTTGTCAGTGACCTACAATTCTGACCCTTAATGCATATGTGAAGTTTTAAATAAATATCTTTAATAGTTATTGAGATATGTAAAACTTGCATGTAAACATTAACCAAGAGACTAAGTAGAAAAGGGGATATGAATCAGCCTTAATGCAAGATAGAGTTATGGAACATGGTCAGTGACATATAATTATGACCCTCAAATTATGACCCTTAGTACATGTGTAAAGTTTCAAGTAAATATCTTTGAAGACCTTTAACCTTTAACCAAAATTTCTAAGTTTCAAAGGGGCAAATAATTCTGCAAATATTGCAGACAGAGTTATGCAATTTTGCAAAATGATGTACATTGTTACTATAAAAAAGTATTTTTAATTTCAATTGAATATCTCAAGCAATAATTGAGATATTTGACTGTACAAAAAAAACTTTAACCAAAATTTCTAAGTTTCAAAGGGGCATAATTCTGTCAATATTGTAGGCAGAGTTATCCAACTTGTCAATCTGATGTACCTTGTTACTATAAATAAGTATTGTAAATTTCAATTGAATATCTCAAGCAATAATTGAGATATTCGACTTTACAAAAAACTTTTACCAAAATTTGTAAGTTAAAAAGGGGCATAATTCTGTCAATATTGTAGGTAGAGTTATCCAACTTGTCAATCTGATGTACCTTGTTACTATAAATAAGTATTGTAAGTTTCAATTGAATATCTCAAGCAATAATTGAGATATTTGACTTTACAAAAAACTTTAACCAACGCAGATGCCGACGCGGACGCTGACGCCGACGCCGACGCCGGGGCGACTACAATAGCTCTCATATTCTTCGAATAATCGAGCTAATTAAAACTAGGAATGAGCCACATCACTGCAAGATGATCACCAATAAAAAAAACAGGAACGTATGAGATGTGTTTAGAATTTGTTAAAACTGTTCCCGTCAGCGTTTAAATATTGTTATAAAGGTAATGAAACATGGGTACATTTTTTTAAAGCCATACAAAAAGATAGACAATAAAATTTAGGCCACCAGAAACGCTCGAAGGCCAAGTTGGGCGGTCTGTGAAAGGAAGGTTGTACAAACAAAACGTTTTGAAAATGTTGCGAAAATACTTCCGTAAACGTCGCCCAGCTACTGGACTCAGGGGTAATTGTTTACTTCATGACAAGACACCAGCACATACCTCAACGATTGTGAAAGTTTTTTTTGGCAAAAGAGTATCCTTCCTCATCCCCCCCCTGTATTCTCCTTTCCATGCTCCTGCTGACTTTTTTCTCTTTCCAAGACTTAAAAGGAGGCTTTCAGGTCAGTAGTGCCGTAGGATACGCTATTTTTCCCTAAAAAGGACTTTGAAAATGCATTTCAAATGTGGCTGAAAAGGCTGAAGCTGTGTGTTTCTCACAAAGGAGAGTATTTTGAAGGAAATAACAAAAATAAAGTTTCCTGGTACAGTATTTGCTTTTTTTTACATATTGCGCACCCCTCGTATTAATGTAGCAAAGGCTCTAAAATAAAAATATGCATATACTTACTACTACGATACACAAAACCAAGTCTACCTCGTCCTATAGGCCCTTTATCTAATGAAGCTTCCAAATCATTGACCTGGTTGCTATCAAGTAGGATCAATCGACCATCAAATATACAGGAATCCTTTAGAGACTTTTTGGAATCAACAAATGAAGAAGTTGAACGTCTGTTTAAGTCTGTTTTAAAGTAATACATTATGATCAAATCAGTGAAAACGTTTCATTAATATCAAACATAATAAATACAAAAGAGAGGACAGGTGGTAAAATAGACTAGTAAAGATACCAGGAGACTTTTCTATTATATTATTATAAGGGGTAAAGGAAAATTTAAAAGGCCTCTGTTCCATCTTTACAAAAGAACACTATCAGTTGCGACACTTTTCAGCCTTGCTATATGTTCTGTCAGTTGCCTTTCACAATCAAGTGTATTTTCCTTGAATTATTACATTTTCTCAAGAGTCTTTCGATGAATTATTGTACTTTAATCATTACGTGAAAAGTACCAAAATATGCAAAACAACAGCAAAAGGAACGGCGGTGTTCGAAAAACACAACCCTCACATGACCCATCAACACAGGACCGCAGGCAAGGAATTCAGCAGGTCGTCAAATACAAATATGAGCCGGCAATAGCAAAGCACGGACAGGTGATAACTTTAAACAAGTATGTTGCCCCCCCCCCCCACACACACACACACATTTGCAATTAAGTGCTGAGCAATTAGTTGGAAACAATTTTGGCATACCAAGTCAACATGTCCTGACCTTTAAGCCCTCCACTAAACAATCAGAGGGGGCCATGAGGCGCCAAAGACCAATGCATCTATGACGTTTGAGGGTCAAGGGTCCATTGGAAGTTAATTTTGTTGTTCGGAAATCATTTATATACAGGGTCAGTATGACCTTGACCTTTGACGCAGAGACCAACCGATATGTGCAAAGCATTATACCCTAACTTCTTTTAATGGGGGAATAATAATTGACTGATTTGACAATTTCAAAATAGAAAGGTAAGGTCATGCACATGTACCAATTAAGACAACTCTGTCTTCGCAAATCATTTTTGGTTATGTACACAATACAAAATCAATGTGCTGACTACGCATATATGCAATGTGTCCCAAAATAGCCAAGAATCAATTGGTGAAGACAGGTAATATATTTTGATTTGACATGATATTCATTCTGACATATTTTGCCAGGTTTCATTAAATGCAAAATTCTGTTTTGAATGTTTTGTTATGAAAACCATTAGTAGCTTCGAAGTCAACATGATACATTCTAACACTGACAATGTTATAGTGTTGTCTCCTGTTCACATGAACATCATTCTTGATCAATAGTTTTAATACATTTGAATTTCATTTCAAGGCGTTAAGAACACGAATTTACATGTTTAGTTATTAAAGTGTTTATGGAATAATGTCACTAAGCTTGAATTAAACATGTCATTTATGCACAGGTTTTATAAGATTAAGACAAAAAGGCAGCATCATAAATACATTAATTGATTATCATTCAGTGAATAAGTTTTAATGTATAAAGCTTGAACAAAGTATATTTTATTACCTGAATCTTGCTGCTGCTTTGTTTCTTGTGCATGTACTTGGCTTTGGTATTCTTGACATAAAGAATTACCATGCTTATTATCATGTTAATGTTTTCTGTCGGTACATTAAATTTCTTTTTACATGCATTCAATAAGCATCATCTTATTTCAAATTTGTTTACTTTTCAATCAGAGTACTATTAAAAAACATTTATTTCATGCAAACACCTTATTTTTTTCGTTTTTTTTTTTTTAAGGTTTTTGTCCTTTTCTGTATGTATAAGTTGGTCTATCATTTCATGAGTACTAGTATGTCATGATCTAGTTGGCTTGAAAAAAGAAACTTCCTTTTTACACTTTTACATAAATATAGACCTATACAAAAAAAATATGTTTTAATCACATATGAACAAGTACTTCATGGTCCGATCTCTAATTTACATTTATTTAAGTTATCTGCATTTTTTCTTTAATATATAATTTTATAATATCTACAAAAATTCAATCAAAATAAAGCTTGTAAAATATTTAACAAAGTATTTTATTGTATTACCCAAATCATGCTGCTGCGTTCTCTCTTGTACTGGATATTGGTATCCCTCTTTACCTAAAGAAAATAAATAAACCATCTAAAATAAGGAATTAAAGTACACAACACAGCTATGTTATGTGACAAAGGTCAAAAGGTCAAAGTGTAGCCACTTTTGCCCATAGAATCACAATTTGAAAACAAAGGACAGCTAAATCTGAAAAAAAAATTGTCACCGTAAAATTATTTCCATACTGAACCAGTATTTAAGATGTTGTTTAGATGTTCTTGTTTTCTAATTTTAACTCTGGCGGTCATTTTATTAAAGAGTTCAGCCTGTCCCTAAGTGAGAACTGAGCTAATAAAAAGATGATAGAAAAAGAGTGAATAAACAAACACTTGACCTGGCTGGGGATATAATTGTCGACCTCGATCCCCTAGGGCGGGAGGAATGTTTTACCCAAGGGGTTTCATTTCAACACACATGGTATACATACAAAGGCAAATGATTCATGCCAAAAATCTAAGCTTTAGGTCTTTAGGATTTTCACAAGAAGATTGTTTAAATTTTTTCTATACACATGAATATATAAGGAAAATCAATAATCCCTGGGACGGAGTCAATTTTGACCCTAGGACTTTTATCTGAAAAAACAATTTTTTGTTTGTTTTACTATATGTATAAAGAAAATCAAACACTTCTGGCGCGAGGCCAATTTTGATCTTCGGGCATTTATTTGAAGTAACTTGGTAGACATACACTAGAAGATGTTCCATGCCTAATATCTAATCTATAGCGTTTTTGGATTTCACGAGAAGATTTTTTTTAGTTTTTAATATATACGTTTAAGGAATATCAAAGACCCCTTGGGTGGGGTCAATTTTGAGCCTAGGGCATTAATTTTAACAAATTTGGTAGACATCCACTAGGAAATGTTTCATGATAAATATCTAAGCTCTACATCTATTGAATTATCACAATATGTTTTTTAAAGTCTTAAAAATATACATATAAGGAAAATCAATGGCCTCTGCGGTGGGGTCAGTTTTGACCCTATGGCTTTTATTTTGATTTTTGTAAAATTATCTTTCAGTTGCCATGGCAACCAGAGTTCTTCATGGAATTTAATTCTTTGAACAACTTTGGTAGAGCTTTATGCAAAAAACATCCCTGCTAAGTTTCAACAAAGTTGGCCATGTTGTTTAGGAGGAGAAGTTGTTTAAAGAAATTGTTTACTTACGCCTGGACGGTTGGACAATGGACGGCAGACAATGGGCCATCACAAAGGCTCACCTTGAGGCAATTGTCCTCAGGTGAACTAAAAATCAATGACCCCCGGGGCAAGCCACTTTTTACCCTAGCGATTTGATTTCAACAAAGATTGTAAAAATACACTAGAACATGTATCATGTCAAATAGCTAAGCTCTTACTATTTTGGATGTTTACAAGAGAATGTTTTAAGTTTCTTCTATTTACATGTATATATAAGAGAAATCAATGACCCCCTGTGGCGGGGTCAATTTTGACCCTGGGGCTTTTATTTGAACAAACTTGGTAGATATCCACTAGAGGATGTTTCATGCCAAATATCTAAGCTCTACCTCTTTTGAATTTTCACAAAAAAGATTTTATTTAGTTTTTATGATATACATATAAGGAAAATCAATGATCCGCAGGGGCGGGGTCAATTTTGATCCTAGGGATTTTGTTTGAACAAACTAGGTAGACATCCGCCAGAACATGTCGCAAGCAAAATATCTAAGCTCTACCACTTTTAGATTTTTACAAGAAGATTTTTACGTTTTCACTATTTACATATAATATTTAATTATAAGGAAAATCAATGACCTCCTGATGTGGGGCCAATTTTGACCCTAGGGTATTTATTTAAACAAACTTGGTATGCATCCACTAGAAGATGTTTCATGCTTAATATCTTAGTATCTCTTTTGATTTTTACAAGATGATTTTTTATAAGTTTTTACAATATACATATAAGGAAAATCAATGGCCTCTGGGGCGTAGCCACTTTTAACCCTAGGGCTTTTATTTGAACAAACTTATTAGACATCTACTAGAAAATGTAACATGCCAAATATCTAAGCTCTAGCTCTTTCGGATTATTACAAGAAGATTATTTTAAGGCTATTGTAAAATAATATTTCAGTTGTCATCACAACCAAAGTTCTTCATGGAATTAAATTCTTTGAACAACTTTGGTAGAACTTCATGCAAGAAACATCCCTGCAAAGTTTCAACAAATTAAGCCATGTGGTTGAGGAGGAGAAGTTATATGAATGAAAGCCAGTTTGAAAAATTGAACAACTGTAACACTAGCTGAATACCACCAAAAATATGCTCAAACGTCATCTACTACCCAAGACAAATGCCCTTATGAAATTAAGACAATTGGTTGTTAAGTGATCTTGACCTTTGACCCTTCTAACCAAAACAATGACGGTAATAATTTTGCAAAGACAGATGCTCCTATGAAGATTGAAAGTCATGGTCCATTGGTTGTCAACGTATTTGTCAAAACCCGTGTATATATACAATGTCAATATGAAGGTCAATGTGACTTTGATTCTGTAACCCAAATACCAATAGGAACTATGTTATAACCAAGATCAATGTACCTGTGATATTAAAGGGCCATTTTGGCCATTAACTGTTGAGTTTCTGGTCGGAAACTCAAACAGATTTTGTATACATGGTCAAAGTGTCTTGGCCCTTGAACCCTTGACCCCTAAGATTAATAAGGAGCATCTACTAACTAAGACTAAAGCAACAATAAAGTTCTAGGATAATGAGCCCATTTCGTATTCAAGTATTTGAATTTGAAAGGAAACAATGTTGAATTGACAAACCGAACAGCACAATATTATTGCTACGAGAGCTCCAATGGTCTAGTGGATGTTTCTTTTATTAATGCATTTATTTAAGATCGCCGCCGGAAAGCCCATATGGGCGACCGCACACTCAAGTCGAGCCATCCTAGAGCGTCCCGCCGAGATTTTTCATCGATTTTTTCCAGCTTTACTGGTGGAGGAAGACCCCAGGTGCCCCTCCGGGCATTATTTCAGGCACGGGCGGGCACCTGGGTAGAACCACCGACCTTCCGTAAGCCAGCTGGATGGCTTCCTCACATGAAAGAATTCGACCCGAGGGAGGATCGAACCAACAGCGGTGAGGGACCTGTGATCTCAAGTCAGCGACCTTAACCACTCGGCGGATGAAGACCTTAGGAGCCTGTTTATTAATTATTTTAGGCACCCATAGGCACCTGAAGTAGAACTACCAACATTCAATAAGGTAGCTGGATAGCTTCCTTACATGAACAAGAGGGCCCATGGGACTCTGTATTGCTCACCTGCGAAATAGCTCAAAAGGTCAAAATGTAACCCCTAATCACCCCAGAAGCACAATTTGAAAACAAGGACAGTTAAATCTTAAATAAATTTGTACACTGTCACCAAGGAAATGTGTGTGTAAAATTATTTCAAAACTGAACAGGTGGTTAAACTGTTGTTTAGAAGTTGTTGTTTTTTAATTTTAACTCTTGCAGCCATTTTATTTAACAGTTCAGCCTGTCACCAAGTGAGAGGTGAGCTAATAAAAAGATGAAAGGAAAAGAGAGGGAAAACAAACATTTGACCTGGCTGGGGATTGAACTGCTGACCTGGATCCCCTTGGGTGGAACAATTTTATATATATATATATTTTAATATATTGATAAAGGAAATCAATGACCAAGGGCGCCAGGCCAATTTTGATCCCAGGGCATTGATTGTAACAAACTTGGTAGGCATCCACTACAGGATGTTTTATGCCAAATTTCTAATCGAAAATGGTTTGGTTTTGTCACAAGAAGATTTTTTAACTATTAAATCGAAATCTAAAACTGGTATCATGTTTTTTATCTATCATTTCTATCATATATTAGTGCACCTGTAAAAGATAACTGGTTGCTATTGCTAAGAGAAAAACAAAAATTACTTAAGAAATCTCTGGCTGCTATACAAAATTAGTGGTTTTGTTGGAAATCAGTGAAAGCTATAAAATTCAATGTCACATTCATTCGTTGCTATGGAAAGTAAATGTTTGTCAAGCCAGTGGTTGCTATGGAAAATTAAATTTACTATGAAAAGTCAATGATTGCTATAAAGTCAGTGGTTGCTGTGGAAGACAATGGTTGCTATGATAGTCACTATTTGTCATTTGAAGTCACAGTTTGCTATGGAAGTCTTTGGTTGCTATAGATAGTCATCAGTTACTATGGAAGTCTATGGTTGTTAGAGAAGTTCAATGGTTGCTTTGGAAGCCAATGGTTGTTATGGAAAGGCAATGGTTGCAATAGATGTCACTGGTGCTATAAAAAGTCACTGGTTGCTATTAAAATAAGATATTTTTAATTTACGATGAAAACTGTGTAACACACTGGTATACAGATGAATCGCTATAAGCCACCGCATCGCAAATGCTGCAGTGGCATAAAAAAGTAAATGTAAGTAAAACATTGACATCGGGAAATATTATGGAAAACAACATCAAACTTACATGCTTGAATATCCCTTTTTTTAATCTTGAGATTTTCTGCAATTACATTCCAATCAATAGTGACAGATGTACCCGCTTTATACATTAAATGAAACAAATGAGCCAGTGACTGGTCATCAGTCTCTTGACGCCACATTAGAAGTAAGTTATACACACGTTGCTGACATGAAGTGTGATTATGCCTTATATGTTCTATTGTAACCGTTGATGTCTTGAGAAGAAATGGTCCTAGTATTTCCCAGTTGGAACCAATACACTGTGAAATGTAATTTAAATCCTCGTTTGTCGCGGCTCTTCTCCCTAGAGCAGCTGAAAAAGAACCTGGTCCATTTTAATTGATTTTTGTCATACAAAAATGTTTGAAGTAATTTTTAACAAATAAACTTGAAATCAGATAAAGTCATTTTTAAGTGAGCAAGATTGTTTTGGTAAATTACCTGTCAGCTATATGGAATACGCCATGTTTGATTCGAAATCGTGTAAATTACCAACTCAGAATTCTTTTTCCAAGGGTTAAAATTAAACCGCATCGCTTTCAATATAATGATTACTGGCCAATGATTGGTTATTTGAAAGACCACAAGAAGGTGACTATCTATTGGTGGATGTCAGATCCTAATGCATAACGTTATTGAGGAGCTGATTTTAATCAGACTTGGAGAAATTGCTACATTTAAAAATAAGCTCCAGTTCAAATGCACATGCACAATAATTAAAGCTCTATTCAGTGTCTATAAGTAATTTCCAAAGATGCATATTACCCAGATGTCGGAAAATTATATTTCTTTTAAAATCATCTTACAATTGCTAACTGGTACTTAAATTTATAGTCAAAATGTAAATGGTCTGGAAAACTGCTATGAAATTATTTATAAAAGCGAATGAAGGTGTTAGATTTCTGGCCCATTCCAATAAGACAAGTAAACAAGAGGGCCTGAATCGCTTACCAGACACAACTGTTTTTCAGTGTTAGAACTAATTTTTCAAATGAACTGGCCAAAAGGCAAGTGAAGGTCAACTTCGACTTGCCCCTCTATTTATATAGTTTCACAACACTGACTGATTTTTGTTGTTGTTTTTTTTCTTTATAATAAAGAAGAGGGCCAAGATTGCCCTAGATCACTCACCTGACCCATCATTTCATTATTCACTATATAAATTGAAATATATTGTCTTAAAATTTTGGAAAGGCTTTCTTAAAAATATTTATGCTGCAAGTGTGTTCCTGTAAGACTTTCTAGAATAATAGTAGAAAAAATGACTACTAGCACAGGGTTAATCTTTTATAACTTTTGTGAATAAAAACACGTTGATGTCACATGCAAAATATGTTAGGTATAGACGTTTAAAGTTTACAGTTTCGAACAACAAATTGTTTAAAAAGTTTTTTTATACATTCTATATGTTAACATAACAGTACGTCGAGAAATAAATGAAAATGGCTCACAAAATATCAAAAGTATGCCAGCTAATATCAAAACTCAAATCACCATCACATAAATTATACCCTTGTCAAAATTTTAAGTATTTATGTCAAAAAAGAATGTAGGTCAAATGATATCAAAAATATCAAAAGAAAGTCAGAAAATATCAAAAAATAAATTCGGCATCAGAAATCATACCCTTGGTTCAAATTCCATGTCTGTGTGTCAAAAGGCAAGAAAGTAGGTCACGCAATATCAAAAATATCAGCATGAGGTAAGCTGTTTTCAAATTCAATTCGATATCAAAATTACAACCCTTGTCCAAAAAGTCTGTATGTCTAAAAATAAGAAAGAAGATCAAATGGTGTCATTAATATTCATGGTAGGTCAGCTGATATCACAATTCAATTATGCATTACAAATTACACTCCTAGTCCAAATATCAAGTCTGTATGTCAATAAACAAGAAAGTAGCTCAGTAGATATCAAAAATATCAAAAGAAAGTAAAATTATATGAAAGTTCAATTCAGCATGAAGTATTACACTCTTGGTCTAAATTGCATGTCTGTGAATCAAAAAGCAAGAAAGTAGGTCACGTGATATCAAAAATATCAGCATGAGGTAAGCTGATGTCAAATTCAATTTGGCATCAAAAATTACCAATCAAATTAATATGAGCAAATTTGATAAAAGACTACCTAAGAATGTTGCAGACAAAATTTGGTGACATGCATCAATAAGTTCAGTAGAAGATATTTAAAAGTTTTTCTATTTCTTGCTTAAGTGGCTCCTACAAGGGGACAATCAAATTAATATAGGCAAATTTGGTAAGACAACATAAGAATGCTATAAAGCTTGATGATCATCCATCACTTAGTTCAGTAAATGCTGATGTTAAAAGGTTTTTCTCTTATTTCATATTAGGGGCCAATAAAATTACTGTGAACAAATATGATAAATGACTACCCATGAATGCTACAGACAAAGATTGAAAATTAAAGACAAAAATTAGTTCAGTAGAAGAGGTATAAATTTTTTTAAACTCTGTTGACCCTTAAAAGGGGCCAGTTAAAATTATAATTATATATTATTAACAATGTTAGTGTGACTGTAACAATGTGCTACAGTAAATCTGCCCAGCGGTATCAGAGAAGACGATTGTTGACGCATGACGCCGGACGCTGGAGCATATCTCCCTTTTATACTAATAGCTCACCCTGAACACCCGGTTCTGGTGAGCTTAAACGCAACATGAAAAACAACCCAATGCTTGACAGGCACCTATATGTGTTCAGTCACAAGTTTGTACTCGTCTGTTTACAGATTCTTGGTTTATTTGTAAAAAAGTAACAAAATTCTACTTTGAAAAGTATTTGAAAAGAAATGATTTTTCCTGTGCTTTTAAAATGCATTTTCAATTTTGATAGTAAACTGAAAAGAGAAGATTTAAGATACCTCTGAGAAAAGAACCTAATTTGAAAATGTTAGCCATGGTAAAAATATTTAATAATAGGGGAAATACTAATCAAATTAAAAATACAAGCCTCAATCATTACTTCCATTTCCGCACTAAATATGCGCATGCGCACTAGTACTGAAGGTTTCCATGGCGCAAGCAAGACTTCATTGTGAGTTAATAAATATTTTCTAAAAGCGCATCTTTATTTTTTTAACATAAATTCTAAGTTCAAAAAGGGATTTTTTTTTAAATGTGTGCTACCGAGATATGAATCTTGTCAAATATTATGTGGGTAATCATAAGGAACATATATTTCTAGTTTGAAAGTTTGTATTTAGATACCTTAAGAAATAAAAATGTTATAGTAAAAGAATTTACTGCAGTCACAAAACTTTTAATCTGAAATCTGATAAGACAGCGTGAAAACGTAAGACAGATCTCCATATAAGTCATATAGTTAAGTTGAAAAAGATAAGTCAAAGTTATTTAGTCTTTTTTAGTCATTTAAAATGTTTTTAAACCTTTTGTTACTGATGTAGCCATATTTGCTGTCTTTCAGAAGTCGGCAGCATGTCAATTGTCAATTAAGCCTGAAAATATACAAAAGTAATGCTAAGTAATTTAATTATGAAGAATGGTATGATATTAATGAATGCAGATGATATATTGTATATATTACTTGCAAGAAACGCAGATACTATAGATATATACTCTTCTTTTATTTTATTAACAGTAAAGAACATATAGTAAAATGCAGACAATATACTGTAGAGTATATGGTACTTGCAAGAAACCAGATAATATAGATATATACTCTTCCTTTCATTTATCAACTGTATAGAACATATAGTAAAATGCAGACAATATACTGTGGAGTATATGGTACTTGCAAGAAACACATAGAATATAGATGTAAGGTGAAAATGAAGGTGTCTAATTTACACCTTTTTGTTCTACTTTGCCTGGGTTTTGTGAAAACACTCTATATCTATATTGTCTGCGTTTTACTGTATATCCTATATTGCCTGCATAAGCGTAAACGGAAATAACTTATAACTTATTTATTTATGGACCAAATTTTTCAAGTTGTTTATGTAATAACATGTTATTTTTATAAAATATCGTATTAAGAAAACAAAACAGAAATTTTATAAACTATAAGTCATATTCTGTATATTCTGTCCTTCACGGGAAACTTTTATAGAAGACGCCTCAATCAAATTCAACTTATAAACATTTTTATTTATTATTGGGGACCAATAATTATACGAATTTCTTTCATAGTATATTACATATTATTCAATTTAAAAATATATATATGGACATGTTTACATCAGAGCGAAAAAACCTAACAAAAAATCAAATACTTTTATAAAAGTATAAGTCCAATAAGTTAGTGTCATACTTCGCACATCCCTTCTGAGTCCTTCGCACGGGATAATACAAAATTATAATTTATATCTTTTATAGAATAACGCAAGGTATAATATTAATTTAACAAACGTTTTTATCATGGACTAAATTTAACGAATTTTTGCATGATATTTCATTCTTTGTAATTAAATATCACATCCAGACAAAAAACAAAAACAAACAAAAACAATTACTTTATAAAATATGCGTCATATTCGGTATCTTCTGTTTTTCACGGATATGATCTTATTAAAAAAAACGCAACAAATATTACCTATAACTTTTTTATTTATGGACCAAACTTAACGATTTTTTGCATGTAATGTCATTTTATTATTATTATAAAAATTCGATCAAAAAAAGTTATTTAAAAAAAAATAAAATTTAAAAGGGGTTAAAAAGCCCATATTGGTTTTTCTTTTCCTTTTCCGCAAACGGATAGGAAAATTTGAATAAAGTTAAAAAATTTTTTTATTTAGGGAAAACCAAATTTAAAAAACGTTTTTTTGCATGAAAAAATCATTTTTTTTATTTTTTAAAAAACGGTTTTTTAAAGAAAAGGTTAAAAAAAAAATAATTAATTTATAAAAAAAAATTATCTTTTCGGAAATTCTTCTTTTCCGCCTACGGAATTAAATTTTTAAGAATTAATTCGAAATATAACTTTAAGCCCTTTTCGGTAAAAATTTGTCATAATTTTAAAACTTTTTATTTTATGGGAACCAAATTTAACAAAATATTTTGAAATTGTAAAATCTTTTAAATTATTCAATAAAACTCGTAATGAAAAAAAATTAAAAAAATAAATTAATTTGAAAAATAATAACCCAAAAATCCGGAAATTAAAAGTCATAAACCCCCCCCCCGCAGTAAACATCGAAAACGAAAGTAAAAGGTCGTTTTTCACAAATCTTGCAATAAGTAGACTGGATCATGGATGATCACTCTACATACATTAGATGAATGCCTATATTTAATATCAAATACGGGATTTGATACAACCAAATGCGTTTTGGGACTTAGTTTATTTGTAAATATCATCATCGTTCGCAAAATTTCTGAAATACATACGTCATATATATCGTCAATTTACCAAAGAAGTAATCAATTGCAGAAAATAAGCTAATGCTACTTTAAAACAAGAAATATTTAGCTTAACAAAGTGGTTAAGTTTGGAAAAATCGGTTAAGTAACTGTGGAAAAATAAGTTAAAACATTACCTAAGCCGAACTCGACGTTTACATTTTTTGCACTTTTCGTTTTCGGCGATTCGTTCTAAAACTTTAAAACGGTTGAGAGAGGTAAGCGACCAGAGAGGTGTCACTGCTGGCCGGCCTCTGCTTTAAAAAAGTACGGCGTCCCGCCTTTTTTACTTGCCGCCAAAATTTTTAATAATGATCAACTTAATGCTAGATTTAGTTATTCGGGAAAATTATATTGGTTTTTGGGGTTCCAACAATGGGCAATTTGTTTACAGTTGCGAAGCTGCCTTTATACGCCAAAATACCACGTGCGTTAGAGGGTGAACCAATTTAAGACAATCAAATCTTCAAATCGCGAAAAAATCCTTAAAAAAACTAAGAAACTTCTTTCGATTTCTATTATGTTAGCCAGTATATATTATACTATCGGTTGATTTCGCGAATGTTTTTTAATTAAATTAAGAAATACAGAGAATATAAATCCGTGATGAATAAGAACGGGAACAAAAGACAAATGATCGAAACTACTAAAATATTAATATGAACTTAAAAGTATGGAAATAACTTTACTTAATTTTCCCTACATATTTTGATTTGATCAAAATAAGCTTCACAAAAATGATAATATTAAACGAGTATGTGAATGAACTCTACATATTGTATATACATAAGTTATAACTTTGGGTAGCTTGTAAAAATCGATGCATGTAAATGCATTATGTATATATGTATAAATGTATGTACGCACATGTCTTATTGAATTATACAGCCGACATAACATAAAATAGTATGCGTATTTACGGAATTGTATAGAAATAAATAATAAACATATATGAAATTAGGCTAAAACTGGCTACGTTGTATGTACCAAAAAAGTACTCCTAAGTTTGGAACTAAGTCCATATATGTTTATTTTGTATATGAACATGTGTATATAGACAATGACTTCCATTATCTTTTTTTCCTGTTTAATGATGTAATACGAAATAACATGTACAATCCTTTTGTGTCTTTTAAGATAAAATAATCTAGAATTGTGAATTGATTTTATTCTTGGTAATTTTCTAATACGTATTTATGATTAGTAATTGTGATGATTAATATAAAACAATTTTTATCGTATTTCGAAAATGTACATTATCTATCCAGTAAAAGTAGCACTTTTGTAAAACTTTGATCGAAACTACAAAAATTATTAATATAATCTTAAAAGTATGGAAATAACTCTACTTATTTTTTCCCTACATGTTTTGATATGATCAAAATAAACTTCACAAAAATGATAATATTATACGAGTATGTGTATGTACTCGACATAATTAATGTATATACAAAAGTTATAATTATAGGTAGCTTGTAAAAATGGATGCATGTAAATACATTATGCATATATGTATAAATGTGTGTACATGTTTATGTGAACTTAATTGTGTATATGTGCATGCTTGCGTGTGAGTATTTGTGTATATGTAAACTGTATATATACTTCATATAACTGAACGCCTGATTTTTTTTACTGATCTATGTTGCTTTTGATGGAGTGTTTTTTTGTTTGTTTTTTTTTAATTACGTGATTCTGTGTACTATTGCAAAATGATTCCTTCTTGATTTCATCACCCATCTGTTTTTTTATTATTGCATATTGATGTTTCCTGTATCATTACGTATCTCTTCTTACCATTATCAAAGTGATGTCCGTATCAAGGTAATTTTTGAATAAGTGTAGTGCTCAATTTAGAAACCATTAGATTTTTACAAATAATTTATTCGTCAAATTCAAGTTATCTGAAAATGTATCCTGCCAAAGCAAATACAACATCTATTTTTATAGTAACAAAAGTCCATGTAAAATTTGACAATATTAGTGATTTGATATGAAAACAGTCCGATGCTTTTATGCATTTATATTTTCTATTTACTAAAACAATTGCTTGCTCTAAGCTTTCTAAACAAATCCATATTGACCGAAATGTATTCTTTAATATTTCTTGCATACTATTCTCTCATCTCCTTTAAAATGAGCGTACGAAAGCCACGAAAACATTCTACACTGTCAAATAACTTTATAGCGGCGGCCCACTTCACTTACGTCTTCGAATATCCACCATGATATCAGCCACTGATCCACTACCACGCTGCCGTCTTGCTTGTACTACCTTCGACTCTTTTGCAACCGTTCACTATATCTACTATCACAAACAAAGCATACAATATAAAGACCTGCTTACATTCTTATTTCTAAATCTGTTGCTTACATTGTCTGGTGATATACATCAAAATCCTGGTCCAGTTCCTTCTGACGACTCCTCTCTGTCATCACTATCTGACTCCTCTTCCCAACAAATCACAAGTTGTGGTCTTAGCCTTATGCATTTAAATGTTCAAAGTCTTAAGCCAAAGTTAGATATTATTGAGATCGAGGCCCAACAATATGATATTCTTGTATTTACGGAAACCTGGCTTTCTCTTAATACTCCCGACGAAGACCTCAGTATTGCGAACTTTAGCCTCCCATATCATTGTGATAGAACTGCAAGAGTGGGTGGGAGCGTCGCAATATATGTTCGAGATGGGATAAACGTTGACTTTCGACAGAATCTCCATATTAACAGGCTTGAGGCAGTTTGGGTTGAAATTATTATTCACTCCAAAAAACTTCTTGTCGGCGGTATTTATCGACCACCTGACTCAAACAATAAATACTGGCAACTCCTGGAAGAAAGTGTCGACCGCGCTTTCTCTGTACAGACATATGACACAATAGTTTCAGGTGATTTCAATATCAATACTAAGACATCATCCTCAAATAAGATGACTAGACTTATTGAATCCTATAATGCAGAACAACTCATAACCTCTCAAACGCACTTCACTGAACATTCTTCTTCCTTGATAGACCTCATATTTATAAAGTACCACCAAAATGTTATCACTAGCTTTGTAGCCGAGCCCTTTATTCCTGATCTCACACGTTTTC